CACTCCTTTTTGCCTTCAGGATCATGATGTTAGTCTTATTCCCATGATATTTTACAAAAATCAGTTCTTGACAATAGGTAATGTTGTAGATCAAGATGCTTGCACAATTCTTCTTCAATGAATTTCAACCTGTTCAATTACATTTTTACCACCATTTATTATTATCTTCCCACTGAAGATAAATATTTGTCTGGAAAAGAGGTCTTTCATAACTGAACTACCTAATATTCTTCAAAAGACAGAAAGAGTGAAAGAATTTCAACAGAAGATAACTTTTGGTTTATTCAGATGTATCTGCCTGAACTCTCCGCTCTCAGTTTAACCAAATGATGAACAATCAATTTTCTCCTTTTCTTAAGGAACAAATTACCTGTTGTTACTCCACATTTATCACCCTAAAATATTTCTTGCTTGCTATTCCATATCTACGCTCCTTTCCCACCCAGTTTAAGCGTTTGTTTATTATTGCAATAAAGATTTTTACTACTCTTATATTTGTGCATTACTGGAATCTCCTTGAAACTGCTCAGTTTCAGGCTCCCTGTTCACCTGTAAATACAGTGGCATTTTGGTGGAAGTTGGCCAAGAAGTCATGCTCCACCTACAATATTCTCCTTCGGTGGTCTCCCTTCCGTCATATCCCATACCCCTTCCCTGGTCAATCCTCAGCCCCCTCACCAATGACCACATGGATACCTGAGCCCAGTTCTCTGGCAAGGTGGAGTGCTGGCCTGAAACATTGCCCACATTCCCAGGACCCCAGCACATGCACAAACCCCAAGACTTAGTCCTCCAGCATGCGTGGGACCCTACCTGTCCTCCCACCCAGGACCCAAGCTTGTGCACAGGTTCCCTACCTGCTCACCTGCCCAAGATCTAATCACATGAACAAGTCCTTAAATCCCATCCATCAGCACACCACACCAGCATGCCAGTCTGAGGCCCTACCTACCCTCCCCCTGCCACGTGCTTTCCCCCACCCCTGATCCAGAAAGCAAGCATGTGTTGAGTCCACAGGTCCACCCCAACACAAGTTCCTGGATCCCCAGAATGTAAGCCACCCACCTGAGCAGCAGAAGCAGCAAATACTAAACACTATGATTAGTGCAAGAGGAGAATAAGTTCTCTCATGCATTTTGTAGTTTGTAGTTATTAGTCCATTCCTTAACATACATTGATTCTATTTTCTGGGTTCTGGGCCAAACACTCAGAATCTAGACATTTGTAGAAAAAAAGACCCTTTTGAGAGTGACTTCCTCATCTCAGCATAATGCTTTTGGTAATCATGCAAATTATGTGTATCAGGCCAGCATTGTGGCATGGTAGGCTAAACCTCTGCTGGGGTGCAAGCATTCCATATGGACACTGGTTCAAGTCCCTAGTGCTTCACTTCCAATCCAGCTCCCTCTTATAGCCTGGGAAAGCAGCAGAAGCTAGTTCTAGTCCATGGATCCATGCACCCATGTGAGAAACCCAGAAGAAACTTCTGGTTCCTCGTTTCAGAATGACTCAGCTCTGGCTGTTGGGGATACTTTTGGAGTTAACCAATGGATGAAAGCTCTCTCTCTATCTCCCTGTCTGTTATATATAAAACCTGCTTTTAAAATAAAAACAAATAAAGTTTAAAAAAAATTAAGACATACAAATTGACACATATCTATGAAACGCTATGTGATGTTTCATGGTTGTTTACATTCTCTAATGTGCGAAAAAAGTTGATACACCCCTTAAAAAATTTAGACCTTCTTTATAGTGAAAACATCCAAAGTCAAACCTAACTTTTTAAGCCAAATATTTTTTGGTAGACTATTTTTTAGATTCCTCATTTGAGCAAGACAATCTGATATTTGTCTTTCTGTTCTTGGTTTACTTACCTCAATGATGTACAGTCCCATTCTTGTTGTTGTAAATGACAAAAGCTCGCCTTTTGTGATTGAATAATATCGTATTCTGTTTACATATCCCATTTTTAAATGTTAAGCTGTGAAGGAGCTGAGTGCGTTGGTGGACAAGGAAGTTTATCACAAGCCAGGAACACCTGAGTTTGTGACTAACCTTGGAACACCAAACAGCAGGCAGAGTCCCAGGGCTATCTTTCTTTCCTACCTCCCTCTGGTTAAAAATAACAGAAGGAAGTGTCCCTAACCTTAATAGCATCTTTTCTTCTTACTTTTCTTCAGTTGTAAATAACAGATCAAAGCATACCAAGACTCTGTATTAATGTTTTCTCCCTGACTTTTTTTTTTTTTTAGCTGTAGCTAACATAAGAAAAACTATTCTAAGAACTACTAGCTTCACATTAGACAAAGAATAAAGAGAGCTTTGTATGACACCTGGGTTATTTTGGGATACAAAAATCTGTGTCTCCTTAGACAAAACACATCATCCTGAAAGTGTAGGTGATGGCCTCGGTAAATTGATAAAATCATATTTATGTTAAGCATCCTCTCGCTCTTTGTTTGATCAATCGTGACATGGTGTCTGAGTTCCTTGTGTATTTTCTATACTATCTCTTGACAGATGTGTAGTTTGCAAATATGTAGCATTACTTCATGATAATAATTCTGATCAAATTATTATCATGAAGTAATACTAAATACCATCAAATGTATTTTCTGCATACATTGAGATGATCATATGCTTTTGTGTTTCCTTCTGTTGATGTGATGTATCACAATTATTGATCTGTTAAAGTTTAGCATTCCTTGCAGCCCTAGCATGAGTCCCACCTCAATTTTTAGTGCATTGTTGCATTAGATTTGCTAGTCTTTTAAAACATTTTGTAGTTGTATTTATCAAGAATATTAGCCAAAAGCTTGCTTGATTTCTTTCTCTTCTATTTTATTTCATTGCTTTGTTTTAGTGTGTAGTTTTTTGTACCAAAGTAACGCTGGCTCCAAGAATAAATTTTAAAGAAGTCCCTTTTCCTCTATTTTTCTAAAATAATGTAAGAATGGTTAGCTCTAATTACTCTTTTTAATTTTTACTCATATAAAGTATGGATTTTATAATTATTTGGATAATGAATTTTATTCATTCTAAAGGTACACTTCCAAGAAAACGGCTTCCACTTCCCTCACTCCCCTACTGATTATGCTGTGAATGATTGATACAATCCAGCAGTACTGAACTTTTCTTCAATAGGATTGCTGACTTAATATCACTAGTCATTCTAGGTTTAAATATCTGCTACTTCATGATTCAATCTTGGTAAGCTATATACAACCAGGAGTTTGTTCATTACTAAGTTACATAATTTGTTGCCACATACTTGTTCAAAGAAATATCTAGCAATCCTTTGCATTTCTGTGGCGTGCTTCATAATGCCTCAGTGCTCATCTCCAAGCCTGTGTGTTTGAATACTCTGTTGTTCTCTTGAATGGCCTAGCTAATTTGCCATTTTGAATACCCAGATCTGGATTTTTCAAACTTGTCTATTTAAATAAAATAGGAAATTTTCATGCATTTGTATATACAAGTTTAAGAGCAGAATTACTAATTTTTCAAGTTGGTGTTTCACTATATGTGCTCCAAGTTTTATTGTTTTATTTCTTTTTCTCAGTGACTTTTTGTTCTTATTTTCAAGCTTTTTAGATACAGGCACAAGTTGTTTGAGAAAATTCTGTGATTTTTACGCAAGCATTGAAGGCTATGCATTTTCTTCTCAGTAACCCTCGTACCCCGTGGTTTTGCCATGTTGTGTTTTCACTTTTATTCATTTTATGAAGTTCTAAAATGTCCTCCTTGTTTTCTTGCTTGACCCATTGCTTGTTTAGGAGTAAGTTTCTTAATTCCCACAATTTTGTATAGATTTCAAAGCTTTTCCTATGGATGATTTTTAGTTTTATTGTTTTATGTTAAAAAGATAATTGGTATGATCTCCATTATTTTAGTTTTGTTGAGAATTGTTTGTGACGTTCCATGTCACCTATTCTAGAAAATATTCCATATTCTGCTAAGAAGAATGTGTTCTGTAATGTTGTATGCAAAATTCTGTAAATGTTGCTTACATCCAGCTGATCTAGGGTGCAATTCAATCCTGCCATTTCTTTGCCATTTCTATCTGGAAGATCTGTCCACTTCTGAAAAAGAAATGTTAAAATCCCCACTATGATTGTAGTGGAGCCTCCCTTTAGGCGGACTCTCCCTTTAGGTAAAGCAACAATTATTTTATTTGTGTGAGTCATTCAATATGTGGTGCATATACATTTAGAATGTAACATTGCATGTCTTAGCTGGTCATCTGTTTCCTGTTTTTGAAAAGTAAAATCAAGAAGAGGAAGTGGTCCCATATGCATCGGTTTTCCCTAACATCCCCAAATATAGCAATCACTCTGCTATTGCTGAGGAGCAGATAACATATAAACTAGAATATATCTATCCTTGGTGTGAAGAAATCAGCAGTTCCTGTTTGCAAGCCAGGGAGAAAAGAATGGTTCAGCACAGAAGTATCCAGTGCTGCCTTTAGAGCCCCACTCTGATACAAAAGATCTCCAGTAGATTGGATAAGCCCAGAAAATGTTCAGCTGCTATCATGACAGCAATAATTTGAATTTAATTACCAGTAATAGTGATAAATACAATTGAAACTCATGTTGTCTACATAAACTACTCAAATAATGATACTACATCAGTGCTTGTGAAAAAGTTATTCAAGTAGGATCAATTCATTGACTCTGACTTGATCCAAGATGTGCTTGCATAGAGTACAGATAATTCGTGTAGCAATACATTTGCAATTTCTTTTCAGGGTGAACACAGCTGAATTATGTTGTACTGATTGAGAACCCCAGTTGTGCTCAGATAAACCCCAGAGTATATTTATTCCGTGTTTTTGTTGTCTCCAGGACAAGAATACAAACAGAAGCTATAGCCACAGGTGGGCAGAAAAGCAGAATTTGTTGAAAGGGAAAGGAATAGGACACATTCAGACCTGAATACAGACAACTCTAAGAATGAGAACTGCCTCCATGGATGCTGGAGGCACCTATAGAACAAGGGCCTGATTGCAGTATTTAAAGGAGCCAAGATTGGGGTTGGAGCTGCAGTGCACCTGGAGTTCTTCAGGAAAGTGTTATGGCGTTGTCTGGTGTGCGATGGAGAGAGAGGCTTCTCCACATGGGGTGGAGTGGGTGTGCACATTGCCTGGTGTGTGATGGAGATGTGCAGAACCCTCAGCTATGTTGAACCAGCACTGAGGGTAATGGGATGTGTGTGGTATCCAGGGCTTGAGCATTGCCAGTCCTTTGCTGCTTGGCCTTCACAGCCTACCAGCCTCTCCAGATTAAATCCATAACAGTGTGGGGATATGTGGTCCCCTCATCTTAGGGATCAAATCCCCACGGAGTGTCCTTAGTAACATCATCAAATCATTAGAGTGAAATGTGTTCCCACCCAAACAACAAATATGATTTTACAGTTCAGTATATTACACTGCCCTACTGGAACTTGGAACTCCCTTTGTTATTGTAGGCAGCTATGATCAGCTTTCCAGCCTCCAGATAAGATTTTCCCTGGACCTTTGTAAATCTCTCTGTTTTGTACAGTGCAGGGCCCATGAATGATTTACACAGAGTTCAAAGACAGAATTTACAATGTCTTTCTCCCTAGTTATCTTCCCCCACTACACACACACACACACACACACACACACCCTACCCCCTGCTTTTTGGCTTTTTTCTTTGGGCATTCCCTTGCCAATTTCTACCTGCTCTGGCCACCCCACACTCCATCCTCTGCCTCTTAGGGTCACTGCGAGTTTCCACTTGAATCTCCTCTTTACCAGCAACGTTGGGAGTGTTTCAGAAAAGCTACATCAGTGTGAGGTGTGAGACCACATTATTCTCATCCGAGGGGCCAAGTTCCCCGAGAGTGGCTGCCTGCATTTAGTCACTTCCTGATGGCGACTGTTACTTCTTCAATGTTCTTGTTTGTATGTTTTAGACGTAGCTTATAAATACTGTCATGACTGCTTTGAGGGAGGGAAACACTGTGCTTCAACTTAATACTGAATAAAGAAAATGCAATCTATATACAAAACGGGATGTTAATCAGCCACAAATGAATAAAATCCTGACATTTGCAACAGAATGGATGCAACTGTAGGTCATTATGTTAAGTGAAATAAACCAGATCCAAAAGGAAAAATATCACATTTTCACTTAAATATAGTAGTTAGCACATAAAGATAAACTCTGTGTGGATGTCAGAACATTTGGTATGTCATCACAAATACTGCTTCATTGAATCATAGCAGTTAAATGACAATTTATTATTTTACATGTTAAAAAAATTGGAGGGATAGATATTGCGAGGACTCTTGGGTACTGGCTATGAGAATAATCAGATGACAAAAAACTTCACTGATCTGCATACTTATAGGCATTTCTGGATATGTGTATGGATATGCTTTACTAAAATATATATAACATTTTAATAAAGTATTTTAAAACCTGTATTGATACAGCTTCATTCACTTGTTTTTTATTCTCCACTACAGTTATATTTTTAGGAAATAACAAGTTGTAAAAATCACTGTTATCATGGCCTTGGATCAAGACAACATCCCCTCTCATCACCTTCCCTGGCCCATTTCTTTCTTCCTGGCACACTGCCTGTAGGGCTTCCAGAACACACAGACACACCTCCCCAGTTCTCTTCCAGGGCTGAGTGTGGTGGCATCAGAACAAACCAGCCCAACTTCCTGAGATTTTTGTGAGAGGTATCTTCCCTGTTGTTTTGCAATAAAAGACAGAAACCACCGTATTTGAAGTAATCGGCATCAACTTTTAATGAATGGCAAATTATGAATGATGTGATTTAGCCACAAAATGGATGTCATTTAGTCAAATGCTTCTATATTTATTACGAAATCAATTAAATTAGCAGAATGAAAGTAGTAACATCTAAATTAAAGAAATTTATCTCATACTCTAATGGAAATACAAATATGCTTTATACTTAGTAATTCTAAAGTTTCCCATCTGTTCATCTAGAAACAACATGGATTTGATTTATATTGAAGTATTTACCATTCTCTCAACACAGAAATGTAAGACAGTTCCAACTGTGGTATGAATAAAGTTCTTTCTTGGAAACTAGAAACTTGATTTCAACTTCTACAAAGTAGATTCAATACCTGAGAATTACAGAGAAAACATAGAGATGTATTGAAGAGGATGTTGTCTCATCATACTATAAAAAAAGCAGTGTTATTAAATCAGTATTGTAGTCACATAAGAATAGGAACTAAAAGGCATGAGCAGAAACAAATTCTGCCACGAATTAGGGGGTATTAGAACTGACCAAATGGTAAATATTGCATTTTCAGTTCAGAGGGAAACGGATTACTTATTCAATAAATGGTTTATTCACAAAGACTGGTAAGCATACTCCAAAGTAAGTCTGTGTTCTTTTTTTAAACAAGCTTGAATCATCAATAATTCAATGTATCTGAGGCTACATTCTAACATTTCAACATATAAACGTGAATAGATGGAAGAAGCCCTTTCAACAACTGAAATGCTTAGACTGCCTTAGGAGGTTCCTACATTTGGGCAAGATGGCTGCCTTGGGTCTCAGCATGAGAAACAAAGGCAGGGATGTCTAATGATACAGAATTCCTGGCCAGAAAACCTGAGACTGCACTTGCAAACTTCTGACCTTCCCCCACGGCCCCCTCCCACCACCTCCACTTCTGACTCCTCTCTGGATGTGGAGGGGAGAAAGAAAAATATGTGCCAGATACCCCACCCTGTTCTCTCCTATCTCTTCCCATAGGTCAGCCAAACTTCTCAGGCACATCTTGAACCCCAGAGAAGGTGAAATGCAGGTATGCTGGCATGATGGTCTGGCTCCCCATATGAGGCCCAGTCAGGCACTTTCTCACCCTTCCTAATAACACTGCATAGAAATCCTGTCTGGAGGCATGGCCAACAGGAAGACATCCCTCCTGGTGCAGAGTCCTCATCTAAACTCGGCAGGCTGCCCCACATGATATTCAAATCACCTACTGCCACTTTGCAATTAATATTTCCCTGCTCCCTATTCACCCCCACTAAATAACCATTACACACAGCTATTCACAATCTTCCCATGATAAAGGAAGAAGGGAAGAAATATGGCTAAGGCAAGGCAGATTAAAAACAGCCTTTGTTTCCCAAAGCCATGAGGAAGCTCTGAGAGGGTTTCTGAGAATCCACAGAGAGGGGGAAACAATGTAACAGATGTGGACCCTCCCTCATCCAAGTCCACATTTTGGGGAAGGAGTGGTGGCTTCCTTCACCTCAAGCACATTCCATGCTCCATAGCCAGGATTAAGATCCCCCTTCTTGACCAGATCCTGGCTGGTTAGATACCTGACTCCAAATTTCACTCACTGTCCTCGTAGAAAGTTTCTAAGGAACATGTTTGTTAAGGTGAAAAGAGCAGGCTGCCCCTCCCATCTCCTTCCTTGTTCCAAGTATCCCTCCTTACATCTCAGAACCAGAGAATGTCTGTCCATCAAACAACAGACATCTTGACACTCATTGTGCCGGCTACCTTAATGGGAAAGAACACAGCCCAAGATGTGTAGTCTCCCCCTGAGTTGCTGCCCCACTTAGTTGCACTAAGTGATCACAACTTGGGAGACATGGAAGGATATGACGTGGGTCAATCCTCAAGAAGCCTTGGCTCTATCAAGGTACAGACAAGTCCCCCAACAAAAACAGTGCTGATGGGATGAAAGGTCCCACATGAGGTCAGCAAGCGTTGGGGTGCAGAGGAAAGGCCTGAGTGTTCTGGAGGCAGAACTGGAGGTCCTGGGATAGAAGCTGGGGACTCCAGACAAAGGACATCACATTTCTCAGCATACTAGACGTTCTGACCTGGAGACTGATCAATGTGCCATGTGGGATGGAGAGATCTGGAAGTGGCTGGCTACAGGGATGCAAGGGCTGAGGAAGGACCTTGCTCCTACCCAGGAAGTGTTCAAAAGGACACCTTCCCCAGAAGGTACTTGTGAGTTTTCTCAGACTCCTTTTGGATTTGGGAAAGCCCTTCCAGGGAGGATCGCTTGACCAGTACTTTCTCAGAGCCTTGCTGCTGGGTCATCTCAGTTTGCTGCACTTGTTTGAGCATCAAGTGCTTCTGGGTGTATTGATAAGCTTTGTTGCTATAATGGTGCCCTTCTGTTTCCCACAGGATTCCTCTGACTTGCTCCATGAGCTCCTGCAGCTGGGCCTCCTGCTCAACCCTCTCCCCCCTGTTGCTGAAACCACAGTGGCGCCGCAAGCACAGCACATCCAGTTTGTGAAGGTCCTGGTTGTCAGTCTTGCGCAAGTATTCATCCAGGGAGCCACCAGCCAAGTCTTCCTTCCGGGTGAACACTAGGATAGTGTGTGCCAAGATACCCACTCCAAAGATCTCTTGGAGGCGCCTGACTGCCCGCGTGTCATATTCCGTGAACTGGCCCAGCTGAGTCACCAGGAGCACAGCATGTGGCCCTGGTGAGGAGAAGGTGATGGCTTGGCAGATCTGCTGGTCTGCCACATCAGATTGGAACAGAGAGGACAAAATGTCAGGGGTGTCAATCACCTCAAGTTCCTGCCCATCCCACTCTCGGGTGCCTCTCTGGAAGGTCTTGGTCACTGGCACTGCACTGATTTTAGACTCAAATACTTTCTTGCCAAGGATGCTGTTTCCTGTTGCACTTTTCCCACTTCCTGTTCTTCCCACCAGAATAAGCCTCAGTCTTTTGGGGGTCTGTTCTTCCTTCCTTAGACCTAGAAGCATCAAAAGAAAGCAGAGAGAACTGGGGTTAGGCACTACCCACCCAAATTATGACATCAGAAGTCATGTTCCCCAGGAACGGTTGATTTCCTCAGGGGAAGATTGCTCAGGATAAGGGGTAGGAGAGATACAGATAAACATCTGTAAACATCTGTCTTTGATACCTGCACCAAGCTCTGATTGTTGGTGTACGACCTTGAAGACAGGGTGACGTGGAGATGATAACCAAACACTGAGAAACCTGATGTAAGCTTTTTAGATATGATGAGGGATGCAGGACAGGATGAGAATTCCCTTCTCCTAGCCCCACAGGTGATAAGACCTGGAGTGCACTAGACAGTGTATGCATCTGGTCCCTAAGCTTTTGATATGTCTCAGATGATAGAATTTGCATGCCGCCTGGCTTGCTAGTGAGTACATTCTGCTTATTCACATGGTGTTTTCCATCTTTATGACCCCAAGAGCTGTCACTCCAGAATCAAACACTGTAAGCTTCCAGCTTTGATCTCAACAACAACTTTTTTTACACTCTTTCTGTGCACCTGTCCCCAACTCACTCTTGCTAAGAAAGTAGTTTACCTCTTGACAACGTCTGTGTGGGATCTTGGCACAGCTCATCTGGCAGATCCTCCTGAGAAACCTCTTCAGATTCTTTTTTCTCCACCTAGAGAAATAATAAGGCTTACTAATATCCTGAATTTAAGAAGCACTTGCCTTTCATCTTTCTCTTGCTAGATATAATTGTTTTAATTGTTTTAGCAATGAGGAATGAGTGAGTGATTAGAGGGGCCAGCTCTTCTATTTCTTCTCCACACACACCCTGTTGTCTTCCCACTGTAAGTTCAAGAGAATCCATGGAGAAAGACGCAATGGCCTGCAACCTCAAGAATGGATTGAACTTGAGTAGACACAGGGTCTGCATCTATTGTGGGTAGAGATACAAAGTCAGGTGCACCCATGATCCTGTGGGTTCCAAGTGGCTGGAAGGTCTGAATGGCTGAAAAGACCTAGCATGCAGAGGTAGGAAGGTACTGAGGAGAGGCAGGCTGTGTAGGTTTAGGATAGAAACTAATGGTTCAGGCTTGAACTTTGCAGAAGGCTTGGAGTTCGAGAAAATTGCAGAGACTTGAGAGTTGAGGGGTTGGATGCTGCCACTGTACCAAAGAAAAGAGCTGTGGAACTCTCCCAGTGAAGAAAACCTCAAAGCTCAGTGGAGACACGGGCACTGATTATGACAGTCCACCTGCCTGGCCCTTAACCTCTCTTTACTGTGAACACTGGACATGAGCTGGATGCCCATGATGCTCTCGTCTCCTAGGACCAAAACACACAGCAGGTTTTTTTTAGCACCTCCAAGCCCTCTGAAAATAGGACTGTAACAACTCTAAGCAGGAGTTCCCATCACCCTTCTGGTGACAGATCAATGTGTCTTTGCTCCATGGACTGACACCACCACCTCCTTCTTCCAGAGCCCACAGCATTGCAGCTGCTTGGTTTGAACTGTGAGACTGCAGAGGACACTTCCTGGTTCATAGCAGTTCCCTCAGAATGTGTGGGAAATATTCATAACCAGATGAAATAAATACAGACAAAGGTCCCAGGGCCTGGGGAATCCTAACTGCAGTGAATCTCGGTGAACAAGGTTTGCTCATGTCCACAATGTGGACATGGATGTGTATTCTATTCTATTCGCCAGAAAAATTATTTCTGTCTTCCTTCTCGGGTCAAAGGAGCTAACCAAAGGCAGATCATTGGGTTTGTGGCTTTATGATTGGCATCTTTGTTCAGTGACATCTTCTATGAAGTGCCAAGCTAAGGGTGGAGCTAGTCCAGAAAAGTTTGGTGATTTTCCAGGAAAAGAGAAGAACCCGAGCAGGTAGACAGCCTCCCTCAGACTTGGTTAACCATTTTCTGGAAAGAACACTGTGTTTCATCTAGCCAAAGGGCTTTCGTGAACAGCGAGGCCCTTTCCTCTTAAGGCTGTGGGCTGTGGCTTCTAAATTGCAGACTGTTCAATCTGTCATTCTGGCTTCCTTAAACCCGTGGTGGACTCTGATACTACCCTCCATCAATGCAGTATCATTTGTGATTTAGAGGGAATGGGCAATTTAACAGAAAGCAATGGCTAGGCAGGACCATGCTGAGTGGAAAGAAGCACCTGGGAGCAAAACTGAGCGATTCTTCTGCGGGACCTGGTGTGATCCCGAGAAGCAGTTTGCACCTTCTGCACCTGCTGCCTCACCTAGACCCCACCCTGAACAGTGCTTCACATGGGAATCAGCTTTGTACTTTTGTTTGTCTATAACACCAAAGCCGAGACATCACCTTTGTTGCTCAGGAAGAAAGAAAAACTCGAGACGTGACTTACCAAACATTGAATGGTGAGTTCATCACAGAGTGCAAAGAGCACACAAATATACATGCACAGCACACGCGTATCCATAAGTAGCCCTCGACACGCGTAACACGAACACATGAATATGTAAACACAATCACACACAATTCATAAACACTCATAAAAATACAATACATACGTATATAAACACATAAACACAATCAGAAACAAGTACACCCCTACACACACACACACACACACACACACACACACACACATTTCCACAGAAGCACATAAGCACACACACATTCAGACTTACCAGCCGGCCACTTTCCTTGGCTACACAATCCTGTGATGTCTCCAACTCTCCCTTTGTGGCTGACACTTGATCACTCTGTTGGAGCAGTGAACACAGGGGCCAAAGGAAAGTGTCCAAGATGTATGAATACATGGAGAACATTCCTATGTTAGCGTATTATTTTCAGCAAAGAAATGCCAGAGAAATGCCCTTAAACAAGCAACATTTGTGTGAGGTTAGACAAACAGGAAGTGGGAAGGAACATGCAGCTTGCACTGCGCAACCTCAGAAATAGAAAATGGAAGGTACTAGTCTCGGTTTCGTGCTTATTCTGATCCAGGGTAACTAGACTCAGAGACTTGAAAAGCATCAGGTACCACTGGAAGTTCATGCCAGGGTTAAGCGCTTCCACAAGGATTTTTGTTGTAGAGCAGTGCTCACTTCCCAGGGAGATCAACTTTCAATAGCAGCAACATTCATTTTCTTTATTGCTCCACTCCCGTCTCCCTCAAACATTTTCTCTCAAGAGCAGAGTAATCAGACTCCTAAGCAGTACCTTGCATGGAGATGCTGAGTACCACCACTTCCCAGTCTCCCAGGCTCCCTCCCATAGCTTAAGCAGGTAAGAAATCTGGCATTGTTAGAGTGCACAGTATGGTTTGTGGTGAGTTGAGAAAGGAACCTGGAATACCAGGGTCACATAGTCATGTCGCACAGCATAACTTGCCTCCTTGTACCAAGAGGGAAGCAAAGCTGACTCCATGCCCTTCAATGTCTCCCAGCGACTACCTTCATCCTCTTATTCCCAGACTACCTTTCCTGCTTTACAGCATGCTAAGGGGAGGCATTAGTGCTGAGGAGCTAATGGTAAATTCCGTTACAAATGGCTCGTGGTGGAAAACCAGAGCCATCTGCTAATAAAAGAGTCCTAACGTTACTAGCACAGTCATAATATTGTACCTGTCATGGAAAGGATGAATACATTAATGAGCCCCTTAGAGATGTTGTCTCTACATGTTTTGATGCAATAAATGCAAATCTGGCATTGATATCCTTCCATGGTTAACATCAATATAATTCTCTTGGAAGAAATTCAAATTCCTATTGTGTGATGAGGTCTCATGACTAATGGGTCATACTTACAGGCTAAATATCTTAAAACCATTTTTGATACCCTAGCCTGGCAGCCTGTCTGCATTTGCAATGTCTTCCATCTCTCAGATGAAGGAATCACTGCTTATCCTCCAGAGCGAATGAACTCCTAAAGCAAATCCCTTCATAAAGGTGCTAAACTTGAGAAGGATAGGAGCTGATAATTGTCTAGATCCTGGCAGTGATGTGAGTACACGGTTCTTGATGGAGGATGTTGTTCTCTAAAGAGCAGGTGGGGAGGATCCCAGTGGCCTGTCTGGAAGAGCTAGTGCCTCTGCTTTACTCTGTGACTTTCAGAATCCATCCATTCTGGATACCGAGGAAGGGTGTTCCAGGACCTTTGGGCATTTCAGATTCCTTGGTGTAATAGGGTAAAGAACTGGGATCAAAACAGTCAGCAGGCATTATGAGAAAAATGAAAGGCAAGAAAGAGAAAATCGGGCTAGGCGTGGTAGCCTAGCAGCTAAAGTCCTTGCCTTGCATGAACTGGGATCCCATATGGCCACTGATGTTAAACCCAGCAGCCCTGCTTCCCATCCAGCTCCCTGCATGTGACTTGGGAAAGCAGTCAAAGAGCCCAAAGTCCTGGGACCCTGCATCTGCCTGGGAGAACTTGAGGAGCCTCCTGGCTCCTGGCTTGGATTGGCTCAGCTCCGGCCATTATGATCGCTTGGGGAGTGAGTCAGCAGCTAGAAGATCTTCCTCTCCATCTCTCCTCCTCTCTGTATATCTGACTTTCCAATAAAAATAAAATAAATATTAAAAGAGAGAGAGAGAGAGAACTGGGACGGGAAACGCAAAAATTAATAATGAGAGTAAAATGTAGAATTTAAGAGGAAAGGGAGAGAAAGGAACTACAAAAGATGCAGGGGAGTTTACATAAAAAGTAACCTCCCTATTGTCCAGTTTCCTCTACTTTTATTTATTTTGGGAGGTTCAAATCAAAATTATGCAATTCAGATTAGCACACGTCTGTTAATCAGGATTTCACCACCATGGTTTGCGATTTGCATCCCCTGGTCTGGAGTTGCCAGTTTTTCTATTACAGTGTAAAATTTCTTCACAAATTCATCTCCTAGTCTCTTATGTAATAAGACACTCAGGACTGGACAGATATAGACACTTAAGATTCCAGTCTCTGATCTCACATTCACTTGCCATGTAGCAGCGGCCCTTACACATCTTTTGAAACCTTTTACTTATCTAGAAATGCAGTTAATAACCTCTGCTTTCTAGTGTTGCTGTAGTATTAAGCTAGAACAAGATATAAAACACAGGGCTTAGCCAGAAATAAACAAACAAGTGGGAGATGCATCGCCCCACCAACATTGCCTGTTAACTTTTTCTTACCCATGCAATGTTACCTTCAGTTTAACATTTCTGCTTAGTCCTTACACCTCTCTATGCAACTGTCCCTGAAATTCTGTGAATATCCAACCAAATTACCCAGTAGAATTTCTCTTGTAAATATGTAGCACATTTTACATGCTCTGCAACAACAACAAAAAAACTTCACAGCAAATTCAGATCCCTTGCTATCGGTCAGTCAGGGTATAACTCTGCATCCTGTTTTACTATGTTTGTTGGTTTTGTCTTTTCAGCAGTATGTGAAAACACTTGTCCAAATGAAAGTGGTTTCTTCTCCATTTTCTTCTTATAGCATTATGTACCACAACACTCCACATCAGAGACTTTGGTCTCTACTTGGGAGTTCGTGTAAAATTTCCGACTCACTTACTCACTCACTCACCATCCCCCAACAGCATAGAAACTAGCAATGTTTTATCATATTAATTCAGAAACTTCAGAAATGTTGCTTAGTTGTCTGCATTTTGTTTCTTTTGTTTTGTTTTGTTTTAAAAACTCCTGATCTGGAGGCCTAATTTTTTTTAAGATTTATTTATTTTTATTACAAAGTCAGATATACAGAGAGGAGGAGAGACAGAGAGGAAGATCTTCCGTCTGATGATTCACTCCCCAAGTGCTGCAACGGCTGGTGTTGTGCCAATCCGGAGCCAGGAGCCAGGAACTTCTTCCAGGTCTCCCACAGGGGTGCAGGGTCGCAAGGCTTTGGGCCGTCCTTGACTGCTTTCCCAGGTGACAAGCAGGGAGCTGGATGGGAAGCAGGGCTGTTGGGATTAGAACTGGCTTCCATATAGAATCCTGGTGTGTTCAAGGCGAGGACTTTATGCCACGCCGCCAGGCCCAGTTGTCTGCATTTTGTAAAGAGCTCTTTGGCTGATTCTAATAGAGGCTATGGCTTAAAAAAATCTCTGGGTTATCCATTAGCATTCATGTGTTACATGCACTTTTAAATTTAATTGCAGTGTAGCCACTATGTAACTCACTATGGACAATGCTAAGACAACTGAAATTTTATTTACTGTGTGATCCAGATATCCCACTCCAGGGAATATATTCAAAAGAAATGAAAATGAGGAAGTGACCTGCAATCCTTTTTTTATAGCAGCATAATTCACAACAGCAAAGACATGGAAATAACTCATGTGATGTGCATTTAGTTCCTTTTAGGGTCTCTTCTTTAGTATCAAATGCATTTCTGTCCATGCCCTTCCCTGAGACGAGCTTGCAAGAATCCCCTGGAATTCAAGTTAAACTTTCCCTATTTATCTAAATGGTTTTAACTTTAGTTTACAGCATTCTCTTTGACTCTTTAGATTGTATAGAAGTCTGTGTGTATATGTCATTGTATTGTTTTCTAAGTATTTAATATTTTTAGCTACATTACTATTTAGGGGTTATAGTAAAAGAGTATGACCTATATATGAACAAAGAAAGAAAGAAGAAGGGAAGGAAGGAAGGAGAGAGAGAGAGAGAAAGAAAGAAAGAATGAATGAAAGAAAGAAAGAAAGGAAAAAAGGAAGGAAGGAAGGAAGAGAAATTCTAGTGAGTGGTTTAAATCGCTCCCAAATTAAGGTGAGAACAAGCAGACTCAAGTTTGCTTAGCTCAGGCAACGTGATAGAAACTGGAACTAAGATCTGTCTGATTCCATTGAAAATACAGATTATGTTGTCCATGTAGGGTCACTGATGGACTCTGTGAAGAAAAAAAAAATGTATATGGGAGGACTTTGAGGCAGGAAGAGGGAAAGCTAGCGTAAGCCAACCAAGAAGCCTGCTGTTACAATTCATGATGGTAAAGCCCAGCATTTGTAGCAACTGAGGACTATAGACCCCATCTCGTTTATACAACGCTGTGCATCCAAGAGCAACGGCTACATACTACACCAAGGAGACTCCTGTATTCAAGGACTTGAATCTTTGACCCTTCAACTGCTTTCGTCAGCTGCTTTAACTGCTTATCAATCTCTCCCTCTTATTTTCTCTGTTTAATCACTATCCTAGTGAAAGGCTTTTACTCCTAAGAGAAGAATACCTCAAGGCCAGTGGATTTCAGGTCTGTGGTTTGCAAAGGGGAACATTCAAACCCTTCAGATCACACGTGGTAAGACAGCTCTCTATCCTCGGTGAATTCATAGCTTCCCTCCAGACCGTTGTCCCCTGCCCATTGTCATTTCCTTTCACATCCTTAACGACAACAACAAAAAGTTGTTTATCACAATTGACAAAGACACTAGAAACCAAGTTCTTTTCAAGACATGATTTCACTTGGGGAGAATACAAAGTGAAAATCGAAAGGACTGGCTGAAAAGGAAAAGGGTGTGGTGCCCTGACGGGTGCCAATCCTGTTGTGAACAGAGGAACCAGTGTAGCATCTCACATCAAAGGTACCACACCTTCAGCTCACCACCGACAACTGTTTTGTTTCCATGCGCTATGAGTGTGGGTTGAATAGGGTCAGCGCATTCAAGGTGAGGACTTTAGCCGCTAGGCCACGCTGTTGGGCCCCAAAATTATATTGCCTTAACAGATAGAACTAGAATTCCAGCACCATGGCATACCAAGCTGGGCCTCTGTCTGTTCTGCCAACATCCCATACATATGAGCACTGATTTGTGTCCCAGCTGCTCCACTTCCAAACCAGCCTTCTGATTATGACCTGGGAAAGAATCACAGTATGACCCAAGTCGTTGGGATCCTGCACCCACGTGGAAGGCCCAGAAGAAGCTCCTGGCTTCAAATCAGTTCAGCTCTGCCACTGCAGCTATTTAGGGAATGTACCAACAGGTGGAAGAGCTCTGTCCCACTTTTTCTCTGTGTAACTTTAACTCTGCCTTTCAAATAAAAACAATAAAATAAATCTTTTTTAAAAAATATGAACTTCAGTTTTTCTTTCATATCAACCACATTGTGTGTGCTTGGTAGTCACAGGTGGTTAGTGGCTACCAACTTGGCTACTGCAACTTTTTTAAAAAAGATTTATTTATTTTTATTACAAAGTCAGATATACAGAGAGTATGAGAGACAGAGAGAAAGATCTTCCATCCACTGATTCATTCCCCAAACAGCTGCAACAGCCGGTGCTGTGCCAATCTGAAGCTAGGAGCCAAGAACTTCCTCCAGGTCTCCCATATGGGTACAGGGTCGCAAGGCTTTGGGACGTCCACGACTGCTTTAACAGGCCACAAGCAGGGAGCTGGATGGGAAGCGGGGCTGCCAGGATTAGAACTGGTGCCTGTATGGGAGGTGCGTTCAAGGTGAGGACTTTAGTCGCTAGGCTACCATGCCGGACCCCAATGTAGATATTAAACATTTCCATCATCACAGAATGTTCTACCAGTTTTGCTGGGCTTTTTTTTTTTTTAACAGTACTGCTGTTTATTAAAAAAAAAAAACTCTTCATAAAAAACCACAGAGCCGTTATCAAATGCATCTCAATATGACCACAAGAAATCTATGGTCTATTATTTTGGCCTGACCCACTTTCGAAAATGAACTTGAATCATGAGAGTGTGAATCCATAGTCTACAATAAAAGTGTTCCTTCACTCAACCTTGGCCGTTCCTCACCTCTACCTTATTCCTACCTTATCCTCACTGAAGGCTGTACTAACATCACTCACCCACAGGTAAAGGCTGCAAAGAAATGTTTGTAGGCTGCTTATGGTATAGGGTTTAGAATGGGCAGGAAGTAAGAGAATGAAAGGTTTGTTCAGAAAAAAACAAAGGGAAATCTTTAAAACTATGTTGACCCCAGTTAGGGGCAATGGCCTAGGTTGTATTGTACCTAGGTAAGTTTTACACTGCTGAGAGAAAAACAGCTAATAGCAGGCAGGCATCCTGGGCCCGGTTACTGCCAAATCTATGATAAGCTACCAGTATGTCAGCATAATCACCTAGCCTATTCTATTTTTTTTTTTGTCCAAATGTTACAAATAGATTGCTGATATGAAGCAGCAGTTGCCAGTGTCATATTGTCTAAGTGCTCAAGAAATTGCACAGGAAACAATCCGAAGAAACGGGCAGCAATAATGGTGTACTGCCGTTTGTAGTAGTGTTAGGTAAACTTCCGCCTGTTGGGACACACCAGGTGGAAAGGAATCCATCTACCAGTTTACCAGGCATCACTGCCTTTATTGCCTGAATGACATCATTCAAATACTCTTTTTTCACTTTTGAGAAGAGAAGGTTGTTCAACAGGGTAGTAAATGACTACTGATCAAATTTCACGTTTGACTCATTTATTTTCTACATCTAGCATACATGAGAATTTCAAATACAGCAGCATGGAAGGGCTCTTTTGCAGTTAGGAAATTCAGCGGAGATTAAAAAGAGGAAGAAAGCAAAGTGGAGTTTCTGTTTCATTTCTTTTTCTCTTCGAGCTGAGCTAGAGGGCCACAATTTTAAACAGACTTCTGTCCACTTCTTTGGACAGTTAATCGGGTAAGTCCATACTATTAAACCTCCACAGCGTTAATGTCTAGATTTTTTTTTTTCAAGAAAATTTTCTCTTTTTAAGAATAAGTTTCTCCAAATGTAAGGGAGACAATTTACAGAAGTTTAAGCGAATGTTCAGAAAATAACTTCATGAAATGATTTTGCACATTACTGACCAAAGATTTCCTCAGCTGGCCAACAGGAGATGCTAATTGGGAAGAGCTTAAGCCTTACCATGTGGCTATAAGTCGAAACCACATGGTGAAAATAAATGAATGCTTCTCACCACGTAGGAAAAGTCGGCAGCCTATAGTGCTTCAGCAGCAGCAGCAGCTGCTGGAGAATAAGGAAAGTCTGAGTAACTGATGGATTCAATGAAATGAGTTTCTGGCTTCCAAGATTATGTACTTTCCTAGAGTCAATCTTCATGTTCACTGAGTCTTTCAGCAAAATCTCAAACGGAAGGGAAGAGTTAGAGAAAGAAGGGAAGGATTGAGGTGGGAAGAAGGACAAGAGAACCAAAGAAGACACAAAACCTCAGATCTAGGGGAAGGACCCTGGAAAGGAAGCCGCGAAAAGAGAAGAGCATGTGACCAGAGAAGAAGGAACCCAGAGGAAAGCTGAGCTTGGAGATAAGCAGGCAAGGTTTACAAATGAGTGCACTTCTCAATTCCTGGAGTGAGGGACACATATTCTTCTCACCCAGCTTGTCGGTGATGAGTAAGCAATTGAAAGACAGCTATCTGGAAATAGAAAGATACTTCATGGTTAAAAACTGAAAAAAAATAATTTCTTGTTTCTCTGTTACTTAGGAACACCAATGGACCAAAACAAACACAGTCGCTCTGGTAAGAAAGTGACTTCCTTGTTTTGTGTGGTTTGCTCTTTCTGATGATATCTGGGTAAAATATATAAAGGGTTAGAGACATTATTCTACATCCCCACCACCACACCAGCAGATCAAAATAAACTACAATCTTCTATCAGAAACAAAACTACACATCTAAGCGAGATCCCTTATCTGTCTGGACGTCTCTCTTGCCATGTCCTTTGCTCTGTTTCTTTCCAATAAGTTATCCATCTCCTGCTCAAGTAACTAGGACATTTTGATCAAGGCTCAAATTGCTCAGCCCAGTTTGATGTCAAACCAGCCCCAGGACTTCCTGGAAGTCTTCTTTCCCTTTCAGCTCTGCCTCTTCAACCATCCCATGATTTCTTTTTTCTTAGTCAGGAGGAGAGGGAATGATAGAAGAAGCAGGGCAGAGCTGTTGAATCCTGCGGTCTTTGTACTTGTCACTTAGTTGATCCTGAATGGTCATCCTGCACTTCACCATGGCTGGGATCCAAATGTGCAATGTGAGGAAGCTAGAGGTTCTGCAGGAATAGGAGATGTGCACTGTGGATGATATTAAGTAGATCTCTGCTCCTTCCCTTGGTGCTCTCCCAAGCATACTTACACTGTTGAACACTCCCTTTGGGCAGGGTCTCATCGGGATGACAATGTCTAGTTAACTTCTATTGCCTTCACTTTTTCCAAGGGAATAGGCTGCTGCTTGCTTTTCAAAATAATCTGCTTAGTGGCTCTAACCAGCACTTTCTGAATGTAGAATTCTCCAGCGAAGAAGTAGGTAACAGTGTCCACGCTTACATATGTCCCCAAATTCCAGGTGCCTCTGCTTACTTTTCCCCAAGAATTCTTTTCTCTTTACCACACTTGGGTACGTTTGCAAGTTTCTGTAGTTCCACAAGTATCATATGCCATGCCAATTCTTAACTTGAGACTCCTCTTGCTTGACCTGGGATGAAAATAACTTTTCCTTATTTAACATAGATTGGAAGAGCTATCAATATCATATCATATGTGATATGAATCTATGGTTTGGGCTTCTTTGGACCTAAATTTCATGCTCTTTCATGGAACCTAGAAGCTAAGCCATGGAATTATTACAAGAGACATTGGCTCCTGTGGACAGGGTAGCACCTACATTTGCCCAAGATGCTATCTCCTTGCCCTGAGATGAGCCCATGTGACAGCGTGCAATGTCCTATGAACTGGTACATAAGCACCCACCTGGATGAAAGTCTGACATTGTCTCTCTAGCAAGTCAAGATTCCTGTCCTCCTCAGCCTTGGAGAGGCATATGTCGAGATAATGCATCTTTGAAATCCTGGGAGTGACAGATTCAAGTAAGCTTTATATGGTGAAAATGCAATTCAAAATCTAAATCTATTTCATTCCTCTAAGATGTTTTTCCAGCATCAGCATCAAACATGGCAGTACCTTGTAGTCCTAGAAAACTGAGACATTTCAAAACACATAATTAATTTTATCTGACAGTACAGTGAGGTTTTGTATCTTAAATAAAACAGCTTATGAGGACGCCTTTTCCCATAACATGGAAAATTTTGTGTTGTTGAAAAATTCACTTGTCTTAATCAGTATAGCAGTAACTCATGCTGAACTTGCCTTGAACAGAACCCTGTGCCAAGAGCCAACACACCAGAGGATCACAACTTAGAGTCATCCTGGTGGGAAAAACAGGAACCGGCAAAAGTGCCACAGGGAACAGCATCCTTGGGAAACAGGTGTTTGTGTCAAGGCTGAGTTCCCAGGCCTTGACTAAGACTTGCAGGGAAAGTCAGGGAAGCTGGGGGGAGAGAGAAGTGGTCATTATCGACACACCAGATCTGTTTTCTGGGAAGGACCTTGCTGAACCCCTGTGTAAGGAGGTATGGAGATGCTACTTACTCTCTGCTCCTGGACCCCACGTGCTGCTCCTGGTGGTCCAGCTGGGCCGATACACCCCCCAGGACCAGAAGGCTGTACACAGAGTGAAGGAGATCTTTGGAGAGGCTGCCATGAGACACACAATCGTCCTCTTTACACGGAAAGAAGATCTCAGTGGGGGCTCCTTGATGGACTACATCCATCACTCAGACAACAATGCCTTAAGCAAGCTGGTGGAAGCATGTGGGGGGCGAGTCTGTGCCTTTAATAACCATGCTAAAGGAAGGGATCAGGACAACCAAGTGAAGGAGCTGATGGACTTGATTGAGGGCCTGGTGGAGGAGAAAAAGGGTGACTACTACACCAATGAGTTGTATGGCTTAATTGGAGGAACTAAAGGTGGATCTGCTGAGTCAGAGGAGAGATGCAAGGATTTCAAGGAGAATCTTGTGAAGTACATGGAAACTCAGAGACATTCCACAGCTATGACTGAAGCCAATCACCTCAAACGAACCCTAATCAAAATACAGTGGTGGGTTTTCTTCTGTATTCAGTTGTATGTCAGGTTGCTCATTCTGTTAGTTTGTGCATTGCATAGCGTGTTCAATTTGTTGTACAGCTTGCTGTTTAGTGTGTGCAATTTATTCTGTGGCTTACTGTTTATTATACCCAAAAAGTTGATGACAATTTTGAGAAAGACCACTGGACTAGAATGCAAGACCCCTAGGTAATAGTTACACATTATCATTTATTTACCTCTGTTATTGATATGGAGGCACTCCCCTGTCAACCAGGGGGAGTTGCCTGATATATATGGTATTCTGTGCAATTTTTAAAATTGTGACATGTCACTGTACTGATGAATCAAATTATCTTTAAAGTTACTATTTGCAGTGAAATATATTCTGAAAGCTGTAAAACATTATACTCATTTTCAAATTTATAAAGGCAGTTTCATTTGCCTAAAAACTCTCTTCTTCTTTACAATGTCATGTTTTTTGTGAGTATGATGAAGTAAGCAATAAAATAATAAGTAAATTATAAAGTTTGTGGCAGCATATGACTTTAGATCTTATGCACAATAACCTTTGGGCATGCCCAATAACAACACATGGACACACAGTCATACCATAGTGTCAGTTACCCACAGCCAACTGTAGCTGGAAATTATTAAAAGGAATAATAATTCACAATACAGAAGTGAACAATTCATAAGTTATAAATAGCATGTTGTTCTGAACAGCAAGATAAAAATCTCACCTCACTTTGTCCGGCCTGGGACATGAGTCATCCCTTTGTCTAATGTGTCCTTGTTGTATCTACTCCCCACCTGTCACTGAGCTATCACAATTCGCAGATTGACTCACAGTATTGCAGTGCTGGTATTTAAATCAGCCCTTTATTTTATTTAAGAATAATGATGCTGTGGTCAGTGTGGCACAGTGGGTTGTTATCGCTTACGATGTCAGCATCCCAAATTAGAATCCAGTTCAGGTTCTAACTGCTTTGCTTCTGATCCAGGTCCTTGCTAATACATCTGGGAAAGCAGCAGATAATGGCTCAAACGCTTGGGTCCCTGCCACCCATATGTGAGATCAAATGAAATCCTGGCCTCCTGCTTTTCTAAAAGACCTTTTCCAGAGAAATTTTTAAAAAGACATAACCTAATAGCTATCTATTTAAAAAAAAAGATGATTTATGTCTAAAGACTTAAAACCCATCCTATATTTGCAGCTGTGAGTAAGATGCCATGTTTGGGACCTCACACCAGACCTGGTAAGAGTCACCATGGGAGGGCCCGGTGCGGTGGCGCAAGTGGTTAAAGGTCCTCACCTTGCACGCCCGGGATCCCATATGGGCGCCGGTTCTAATCCCGGCAGCCCCGCTTTCCTTCCAGCTCCCTGCCTGTGGCCTGGGAAAGCAGTGGAGGACGGCCCAAAGCTTTGGGAACCTGCACCCGCGTGGGAGACCCGGAAGAGGCTCCTGGCTTTGTATCGGCATAGACGGAAGATCTTCCTCTCTGTCTCTCCTCTCTGTATATCCGCCTTTCCAATAAAAAAATAATTTAAAAAATAAAATAAAATAAATCTTTAAAAAAAAAAAAGAGTCACCATGGGAACAGCTTGCCTGAGGACCAAACACTGGTCCTCAGGCAAGATTTGTACTTCTCCAATCAATAAAGTATCTTTGAGATTTTGCTGAATTTGTCCCCTACCTCTCTATTTCTTTAAGCAGATATCTCCCCATGTTTTGAGCATTTTGTTACAGTTACTAGTTTGGCTCCTAACTGTTTTTGTACCTTACTTTTCAATGGCATTCTTTGCCTAATTATTTTTTTTTACTACAAATTTTCTTACCTTGCTTCTAATTTTCTCACTTTGCTTTAAGTTCAGGTACTTGGGGTGTTTTACTTCCAAGTGGGGTTACTCTGTACTATTCTCAGAACTCCCTGCTTCTCAAGGCTTCCACGTGCTCGTAGAATGTGTTGTGGGGAACTGAACAGAACTGCTTACCACTCACCAAACACACACACACACACACACACAACTGGTTCCTGGAGACCCTTCTAGGAAAAAGGCTTCAGTTCCCAAAAGTCATCCTTTAAAAATGATAGAGACACTTGAACTGCCAGATATGTGTAAATCAATGAAACAGAAAGGCATATCATGCTCCAAAAGGAATCCAGTAATCCTAGACTCTAATAAAAAGAGAAACTAATGAAATGTCTCATAAAGAATCTGTAAAGAATGTGTATAATAGTCAGAGACATGAGAGACCACAATTAAATCAAATTAGGAAGTCATTGTGTGTGGTGCACGAGAAATTTGGCAGAGATAAAGATCTTGAGCAAAAAGCACAAAACTTAGAGATCAAAAACTCTAAAAGTCAGATGAAGACTTCAACAACAAAGTAGAACTTTGACTTATATCTCACATGATGTACTGAAAATAACAGAAGTGATCTTAAAACCAATCACTGCTTTGCACCTTGGTCTCCATGCCAGTAACGTGGAGTGGGAGGAAGAGAACCAGCCTTGGTGATTTCTGAGATTCTTCTAGGTCTCTCTGTGTACAAGTACACTTGTTTTTTTGCCTTTCTCTTCTATAGAAATTAAATCTTTTGGAAGTTGAACTTTCAATCAGCTGATGTGTGCGTGCAAGTTTCCGTGAGGCTGATGGCAGCTAAAAGCTGAGGTTTTCATTGAAAAACCACAGGGTGTCGTGGCCTGCTGCATGACTGCTTATGTTAGCACTCAACCGTTTCTACCACATCTTATGCAAATTAACCCCCTGCACCTCTCTGCAGAGAAATGAACTTTACATTTACTTTTAAAGATTTATTTTTATTATTTTTTGATTGGAAAGGCGGATATACAGAGAGGAGAGACAGAGAGGAAGATCTTCCATCCGATGATTCACTCCCCAAGTTGAGCGCAACGGGCCGATACTTTGCCGATCCGAAGCCAGGAGCCTCTTCCGGGTCTCCCACGCGGGTTGCAGGGTCCCAAAGCCTTGGGCCGTCCTCGACTGCTTTCCCAGGCCACAGGCAGGGAGCTGGAAGGGAAGCGGGGCTGCCGGGATTAGAACCGGCGCCCATATGGGATCCCGGGCGTGCAAGGTGAGGACCTTAACCACTTGCGCCACCGCGCCGGGCCCTACATTTACTTTTTATCCCAACTCAATGCTGTGCAAATAAGCAGTCACTGAAGTCCTGCCTCTGAGTCAATGGATCCGATAGTCAGAAAATTCATGGATATAGTTCCCAGAGTGCTGATCTGATCACTTACAAGAGACCGTGCTGGCCACGGGTGCTGGCCAAGGCAGAGTCTGACAGTTTCCTGAGCGTGTGTAAGGCCTAAGGCGCTCAGAGAAGAAGGAACCAGGGATATGCAGCACTATCATGTGCATGCCAAGATAGTGCATGAAGTTACTGATGGCGTCAAATGCTAAAAGGAACATAGACCCAGACAGCACCGTTTTGTGTATTAGGTGAAAATAGAGCTTCCAAATGTTATCACGCCAAGGCCCACATGACAGCATTTGTCACAGCTCAGTATGCCAAGGATGGAGTTTCCTTTAGCCAGAGGCAATTGTCCTGGGGCCACCAGCCACTTTCAGGTTTCTGGGTGTCCCTTTTTTTCCTCCCTGAGGGCTGAAGAGGAAAATACCTCAGCATCTACCCTTTCTGTGCACCCCAGCAGTCTAGGAATGAATTAAATGTTGGCACACGCACCTGTGCCTGAATTTCTTCATAGAGTGAAAATACACAAGGAAGAGAAACCACTGCAGCATTTGGTTTCGCTTCTTCCCGTTCTAACTCAAGGTTTCATTTTTGTAATTTCCCACGGTTCTTGCTCAAGGATAACCTTCCTGTAATAGGGAGAGGAGATGGATAAACAGAAGTCAAACGGTGGGGTGAACAGACATGAAGTAATTTAGGAAACTTCTGGTGACAGTTTCAGTCTGAAATACACTGACAAATTTCACAGGAGACATGACTTTTAGTGCTAGATGCAGTCAAATTTTGGCCAGGTCAGACTAAGTGTCACTGGAGAAGCCCACCACCGTGGCACAACATAAAATGGTAAATGCCACACTTGCTCTCACTCCAGCTCCCTTCCCCTCTTGGAAGAAAGGAATTCTCTAGCGTCTGTCTCAAACAGAAATTCACAGGCAAAACACAGAGTCTCTGGGATCGCAGTTAAGTGAGCAGGGAAGGTGACTGCACAAAATGTTCCAGAGATGTGGCTGTGGCATCCCCCGCACCGGAATACAGCTGATTTTCACAACGGCTAGAGACAGTGCCACTACATCACAAAAACAGATCTCCATCACAAACGAGCATACCCAGATCTCTACACCCATAAAGAATCACAAAGAGAACACGGGGACACAGGTGCCCTGGGGTGTGTGAAGACCTGCTTTCAACACCGATTGATCGGGTTTTGTAGTGTTTAAAGAGGCCTGGTGAAGAAGGAAGTAGGAAATAAAGCAGTGGGTAGCTGGAAAGGGAATGATTAGCCGATCTTCCTACCCAGGAATCTAACGGGATTGATTTTAATGTCAGACAAGGAGGAAATGGCCAACTTCTTGGTGTTCAATATCTCCAGGGAGCCTCAGAGTTTGTTGTAAATCTGAACAGAGGAATGCAGGGAGGGTGTGGGAAAAGACACCGTAAGGCCAGTCTTGGGAATACCTTCAAACCTGGGTCTGCCCACGTCTCTACACTGCTGCTGTCTGAAACTGTCTGAACCCTGACATTACTCTTCTAGCACCAAGTGTAACTACAAAAGCACATGAGAGAACAGTGAGAACATTTAAGAAGTGTGTTTCTTCATTTTATCAGTAAATACTTCTAGCACTTTCTAAAGCTTGGTTCTAGTACTTTCGTTTTAAAGCTCTATTAGAAAGGCAGATTTACAGAGAGAAGGAGAGACAGAGAAAGATCTTACATCAGTTGCTTCACTCTCCCAGTGACCACAGTGGCCAGAGCTGAGCTGATCCAAAGCCAGGAGCCATGAACTGGTTCCTGTGTCGGTGTGGGGGCCCAAGGACTTGCACCCCTCTTCGCTGCTTTCCCAGGCCATAGACAGGGATCTGGATACGGAGCAGCCGGAACACATATCACCACCCAAAAGAAAGGGCAGGATTGGCCAGCCCCTCTAGCACTTTCTAAGGTTAGATTCTAGCACAGAGTCTCTTGATTTCACCCTGGAAGCGGATGCAGCCAGTCTGCACCTCACATCCTTGACCTTCTGGGGATCTTTGAGCCTTAAGAGCCCAGGAAGTGTTAGCAGAGGGCAGAGAAGATTGATCTAGAATGGGAGCATCAATCCATTAACTCCTTAGCTGAGGTTCTAGAAGCACATAAATAAAACGTTGGGGAATCCAGGCAGAGCATCTGAGGTAGGGAGGTAGGAATTTTGGAATGTCTAGAATTAAATGAATTTAGAATTCATTGCAAAGGTGCATGCTCACCTGTTTATAATAAGATTTTTATGTGAATCTGCCTGTCAATTTTCTAAAATAAATTGGTAGGAATTATATACTACTACAATTTGATTGATTTTTCTGACTTTAAAAATTGGCTTTAGAGAGTGAGGTTGGACAACTCTTGGGGTTTGGGGGGGGTTAGATTTATTTAGTTTTACTGGAAACTTAGATTTACAGAGAGAAGAGACAGAGAGAAAGATCTTCCATCTTCTGGTTACTCCCCAGGTGTCTGCAGAGGCCAGAGCTAAGACCATCTAAAGCCAGGAGCCAGAAACGAGTGTAGTGTTCTAAGGCTTTGGGCCATCGTCTACTGCCTTCCTAGGCCACAAGCAGGAAGCTGGATGGAAAGTGGAGCAGCTGGGACATGAACCGGCATCTATATGAGATGCCGGCACTTGGAGGTAGAGGATTAACCAGTGAGCCATCGCGCCAGCCCCTCTGAACATTCTATTCATTATTGCTCGTAACCCTTGCTTAATTTCCTGCTGAACTACGGTCTTTTATTTTTGTTTCTTGAATTCTTTTAGTAGAGCATTAAGTGTTTGACTGTGATATAAATTTAGAAGATGTTATCTCAATAATAAAGTATTAAGCTGTAAACAAACAAACAAACAGCTTTTTAAGAAATTCCAGCTGCTTGCTGGGACCGTACTGGGTCCATATTGAATAAGGATGAAATGTGTCCCACAAATTATGAGTGGCACCAGGTTGAAAGCCTTCGAAAATTAGAAAGTGTAAGTGGAATAAAAAGCAAACATAAGAAATAATTTCCCCTGGTGGAGAAAAGGATGCGTGGGAGGAACTGGAGATTACAGCTCTTCTTTAAGACTTTTCCCTAGGAAACTCGGGTGTGAATCCTTTATCTGCTCCTTTCAGGTGTAAATCTTTTTAAAAGCTTTTATCAGTTTTACTACCTGGGCCTGCTTTTCCCCCTAGAACCTGGGATACATCCTTTGTATTCTTTGAAATGTAAATATCTACATTTACATCTGCTAGTCTCTGTGGCAAAGTAGGAGCCTAACTTAGGTCCTCACTTCACTTCTCTAGCCCACAGGCCTCCCTCCTGTGATTAGGCTAGGAGTTCACTCCTGGGCAATGGCTCTTAGCCACGCTTGCTTGCTCACTGTCAATTTAGGAAGACTCCGTGTGAAAAACAGTGTGGCCAAGTCCTCTCTCTTGAGCACTGGTTTTGGTTGACTTTGAGAATCCGCAGAGCAAAACGACAAGGTGAGATTGCTATCTTTGACATTTTTTTTTTTTTTACCAGACTGCCCATGACACAGTTGGCAGCCTGCTCCACTGCTCTTCTGCCGACCTGGGTTTTTCAGTGTTTGTTTTCAATTCTTTTCCCCGCAACCTCTTAGCCAATTGTCATGATGTGCCTCGGCTTGTGTCAAATGTCAGAAGACAATGCGGGGACTCTCTAGTCATGACCCACCTTTGCCCCACCTGGGGTGTGTTTCTGAGCTCCTAATCGCCTACATTCAGTGCTCTTGGCCCTAAATGTGCAACCTGTTGAGAAACAGATGCCACCATCCCATTCCAGCACCTACCCAAATAAGCCTGCCCATAAACCCCACAATGTCTCCAGGACGCAGGGATTCAGGCCCACAGAGAGCCTTGGCCAGACCTCAGAGGCTCAGCAATGCCTTCCCATCCCAGGTTAGCTGGAACGTTCTAAAACCAGAACTGTGAGACGAGGTCCCCCATGCTTCTGTGACAGGTACCAGCTGGGTGGGCAACTGTCCCAGAACCCTAGAACCTACAGGCAATAAGAAAGCTTTTTATGCCCCTTGGGACAAGGGCACAGGATCTGTCATTCTCTTCGTGACTGCTTCCTCCTAAGACTGCTTACTTTAAACAGTCATTGAAAGGAAATAGGAGGAGGCAAGCTGGCCCAGGGCAGCCTTCCGACAGGAAGCGATCGGTCCAGGAGGCAGCTCAACCCGTGCGCTCCGCTGCTTGCAGGGGTCCTGCTCCAGTGGTTGCCCAGCCAGCCCTCTGGCTCCCAGGCTGCAGGGAGAGGTGAGGCGGGGGTGGCGGAGCACCCTACGTCCTCCTTGTTCGTTCGTCTTCCTTTCTGATGCTCAGTGGCCTCTCCTGAGCTGCCCTGCTCAGCTCTGTTCCCGCCCCCACTGGGACCTGGCAGCCACTTCTGTTCCCCTTCGCCTCCCTGAGCGCCCCTGACCGCAGGACAGACCTGATGCCGCTGCCGGTAAGGAGCCCGGGTGTGTTCATTGCGACTTTTTGGATGGGAAGGATCAATGCCGTTGGGGCTACTAATGCTCTTGGACTGTTTCCGGAGCGCCGCGTCGGTAACCCAGAACAGTATTTGAGCGTCTGGGACACGCAGGTGTATGGCCCTATTCAATGTGCTAGCAGCCCTGAAATCCCTCGCCCTGCATTCACAGCTGCCCCATTTCTCCGTTAGGAGAGGGGACTGGGTGGGGGAACTTGCCCATCTCCTTCTTCTTACTTTGTTGGGAGGATCTTCACAAAACTCTGAGAGTAAAACTAGATGACATCCTTTCGCCCTGTTTGACAGAGAAAACTGACACTCCCAGAGGACCATTGGCCTTCCCGAGCTCTACAAACAGGGCCGGGGGATTCTTCCCCATTTTTCACTCTGAATGTCTCAGAATCCTCCACCCTGACCCAAGCACTAAGTCCCAGAGAGGCCGAGGCCTGGGGGTGGGACATGGGTTCTTAGGGCTCCACATCCTCATGAGCCTCAATCCCATACAAGATTCCTTTGTGCTCCCTTGGCCTTCTTATAAACCAACCCCAATGCTGTCCCACTATCTCCCTTCTTTCTATGACATGCTCTAGGGTGTTACACCTGCTCAGGGCATATGCAAATGATGCCTTTGTTAGGCAAGCCTTACAGCAAGAACTTGTTATTGAATTACAGGAACTGAACCCCTAAATATGGACTTTTTCAATTTTTTTATTAACAAGACTTCTACACATTTACAGGCTACAGTGTGACATTTCACTACAACATGTACTGATCAAAGCAGGGTGATCAGCAGTGCCCCTTCGTCTATCTTGTGTTGGAGCCTGGGAGCTCCTTTCTCACTCATGTTATTGTCCATGTATCATCTAGCAGGCTACTGTGAACCCAAGTCACCCCACTCTGCTGTGGAATTCTTAAGAAAATGTGGTCTGAATTCCTGGAAATAGAGGTACTGGGGCAGGCTGTGATAGATACCTATCAACAAAAAAGAAAACTAGTCATTTCATTGTTCCAAAAGCAGCATGAGAGACTCAACTCTTCTTGTGATTAAAATAAAAGTATCATCAGGATAACATCAAGTTCACACAATTGTTCAGCCAAAATGTACTTTATGCTCATTTCCTTCAACCTCCTCCTTCAGCTGGACCCTGCTACTGTCCCTGTCTGGGTTTGCTATATCTCGCTTGCACACCTCCTGCCAAATGACCCTGGGCCCTGTTGAGTGGAATTTTCCCTTTAGAGAGGAACCTGTCTCCATTCTCAGTTCCCTACTTTCATCTGTTCTGCAAGTCAGCAAGCATTACATCCCTGCCGATCTGGACTGTGCTTTCCAGTCATTTTAATATCTTTTCTGTGACCCATTTTAGCGTCTGATTAGAATCTTTCCTGATTTATCTCTGGACACTTGATGATTTGTTAATATATGCTAAACAATCTGTTTCTCGGGCCAACATTTTGGTGCAAAAGACTGACCTGCCACCTGTGATTCCAGCGGCCCAAATTTTTTTAGCACCAGTTTGAGTCCTGGCCGTTGTGCTTATGACCCAGCTCCCTTCTAATGCACCTGGGAAACCAACAAAAGATGCTCCAGGTACTTGAGCCCCTGTGTCCCTAAGCAGCAGATCCAGATGAGGTTCTGGGCTCCTGGCTTTGGCTTCGGCCAATCCTAGTTGTTGCAGTCATTTGGGGAGTGAACCAGTGCATGAAAGATTCATTATCATTCTCTCTCTCTCTCTCTCTCTCTCTCTCTCTCTCTCTCTTTCTCTCTCTCTTCCCCCCGCAGGTATTTTTGTATGTTTGTGTTTGTACATGTGTGTGCCCATTATTCTTCTTTTCAAGAAAGTCTTAAAAAAAAAAAAGTAAAAATCCCCATTTATTCCTCCATGGGCCTTTGGTCTCCCCTTGCAGCCTGACCCACTCAACTGCTTTCCGCACCTGACTAATGTACACGTGACCCTGGCTGGTCTTTGTGACAGTCACGTTGCTTTGTTCAGGTCACGTGGAGAAGACAGTTTAAAATACCCAATTTTCTTTTGCTGAAATATTTTCATTCATAGTGGCTCCCACCCTTCCCCAGCAGTTTTATCTTTGAATAATCATTTTTAAGTGTTTTGCAGTACAATTCTCTGTGTAAGTTTTAAACCAGATTTCTGATTCATCAACAACAGCCTGCATCCCAACCATGGAAGGAAGTGCTGTATTCAGTGTTCCAGAGATGTATCTGCCTATTTGAAATAACGTGTTTAACGGAGATATTTGAGAATTTTTACCTCCAAAGCAAATGTGCGACATTGGCAGCTCACCTACTACTCACTTTCATACTATTTTGACAGAAAGTTTAATTATGGTTGTTTAAAGTGATTGCATCACTGGGGATTGAGGAGAGCAATTGAAAGAACTGATAAAAATTGGAAATTATAAATGACTGCACAGAGGATGATGAAGTTCATTGCCAACATCACCACTGCAGCCATTGTCTTTACCATACCAATATGTTGACTCCAAATCTCAGAAATGGTCAATTAAAATGGAAAAGATGCCTGAGGATTTGAGGAGTTTTAGGGACAGCTGAGATAGAATTTATCAGAGATGAGAATTATATATGGGAGATGGGATGAGAATGTTTACCTCTATATCAGAAGGCAAGGAGAGAGGAAGCTGAATGGGAGGATGGGAAGGAGATAGGAGGAGAGGAGAAAGATGAGGAAGAGTGGGGAGAATGTGAGAGGAGAGAGAGGAGGTGGCAAGAGAGGAGTGGAAGGAACGGGCTGTCTCAATACATTGCGATAATGTGAAAATGGATCATTTTGCTTAAACAGGACCAAGAAAACTCATTGTGTGCAAGAAAATGTACAAAAGCTAGAAGCAACAGATGCAACCTAAACAGAAAGTAAGCTAAGAAAGTGTTTCTGAATTCATTGGTAATCAATATAGAACAAGTTAAAATCAAATGAAGACATCCTCCTTTATGTCCATAACAGTGACTAAAAATTGGAAGTGTTACTATCATTAAGAGCCTGTGAAGGAAATTTTGAGGGAATTCCCATATATGAGTTATACAAACATGAGCTAGTACAGTCTTCATTGAGTCATATTTGTCAACAGCTGGTCGTATATCTTTGAGGTACATATGTGTACAGATGCACAATGAAAAATAGAGGTGGGTGCTGTTTGCAGTAAGTCACAATCAAATATTTCAGAGGATTTTACATGTTTGTTAATAACACACATAAAATATAACACAAATAATTTCACTTAGGAAATTTTAAAGTACAGAAACAGTGCCACATGCTGTACATAGATACACACGTATGCAGAAAAATAAATCGAATAAATACACAAGAAAAGTGGTTGTAAAAACTTGATTGTCTTAAAGGGCAATGGAAGGAATAGAATGAAACTGATTAGGAAAAAATAGGAAAGTGCAACCTATTTGGGTGACATTTTAATTCATTCACCAAACAGAATGGCTGCAGCTGTCTAAAATGCCTATGTTTGCTATGGCAGATGGTATTGGCTATATTTTTCTATGAATTTATCTCTTTAAAAGGTTTGTTTCATAACCACAGCATCTGTATAGAAGAATAAGGAAAGCACAGTGTAGGAGTTCATCTTAATGATCGCTATGTATCACGTTCTCATTGCTCCTCTTACACATTTACTTAAAAAAAAAATGACAGTGGGACATAGGGAGAGATCTCTCATCTGCAGGTTCATTCTCAAATCCCCACACTATCCAGGGTTGTGCCAATTTAAATCCAGGAGTTCAGAGCTCAGCACAGCCTCCCACCTGAGTGACAGAGGCCCAAGACTTTAAGCCACTATCTGCTCCATCCCAGGCGCACATCCAGCAGAAGGCTGGAATGCAGAGTGGAGCCAGGACAGGTGCTCTAATATGGGAGGGTAGCAACCAAAGTGACGTCTTCGTTGCTGTACCCTGTGCCTTTCCCCATCTCACCTTTCCAAGACCAAATATAGTAGTGTGCCTCCTTGGAAGGATATGTTTATGCCAGTACCCATACCGATGTCTGCACAACTCTGTTAGCAAACAAAAAGATCTTTATTGGGATATTAGGACCTTTAAGCCCAGGAAAGGATATGAGTTTATGTGGAATTTGCCCTGAGTGTTGCTTCATTCCCCACCACTGCTCAGGGTGGGAGAGTGGCCACATTCCAACCTCTTCCACTGCTTCCTTCGACATCAGCCCTTGTCCCCATTCTTCCTCTCCAATTACATTGTGTGTTCCCCTTTGTCAAAGGAATTCACATTTAACACAAAAGTTACTGAGACTGAGAATTTCTAATTTTCCAAACAAACCAATGTAATTTACCACAAGGCTTTTTTTTTTTTTTTCTGATTCTGGCAAGTTCTACCCTGATCCAAAGGAGTGAGGAAGAATGTCCCACCCTCAGTTCCACAGAGGAATGCTTCCTTCATTTCCTGTCTTTCAGATATGGGGAGATACTCAACTGATTTGCTTCAAAACATTTCCTGCTTTCGTGCAAGCTGACAAAAAAATGGAGCAATAGCACATTGTGTTACCGTAGCCTCGCATCACCTGGTATGCTTAAAATAAGAGCTGGAAAGTTCACAGTGGAAATTGCTCAACTAGGATCATTGTCCTTCTGTATCTAACTTCAGGTGTTCCTAGGCCCCACCAGTTCCCACACACATTGGCTTCTTATTCTTTTCCTATTTTTTTTTTTCCAGAAGAGAATGGAAGGATTTCAGAAAGGCCAATATGGAGCTATGGCTGAAGGTAAGAGAGTCCTCAAGAGCTTCCAACATTTGGAGACAGTAACTGTCTTCCCTCCCTGCCCCACACCTCAAGTACAGTGATATAGGCCATAATTCTAAATGAAAGAGGATAAATTATCATTTGTCCTTTACTTCCCTGGGCATGCAGCATGTAACTCACTCTTTCACTCACCAGCTCATTCACTCACCAGCTCATTCTCTCTCGCTCGCTCTCATCTCTCTGTCTCTCTCTCTCTCTCTCTCTCTCTCTCTCTGTCTCTCTCTCTCTCTCTCTCACACACACACACACACACACAGGTGCATGCACTCACCTGATGTTCTTCCCTGCAGACCTTTTATGAGAAATATAGAAAGGAAATGAAACTCAAGATTGGAGGATCTGGAATCAAATAGACAACATGGTTTCTCTTTCTTTGCCTATCGTTAGCTTTTAAAAAATTAAAACATAAAAAGTAATAAACTAGGAAAAAGACACAAAAAGGAACATTAAACTTCCCCTTCGAGATTTAACAATCGTGTTTGCTATAAAACATTTCAAAATACTTAAGAACAGGAAGGACCAGTGGAGAATAGAAGGCACAAAATACATAATATTTTTAATTGATTTTCTTATTTTATGATACAATTCCACAGGCTGTTGGATATCCCTTCTTCCTTCCCCAAATTCCCTCCTACCCACACTGATTTTCCCTATATTATTATAATAGTATAGTCCTTCATAAACAGTCATAAGTCCATCATTCTGCTATTGAAGCGTGGCCTGGCATTGAGGGTATGGACAATGGCAGAGAGTTCAGCACCCTGTATTTTAGGAACTTAAAAACACTGGAGTTCCTAAGAATTCTAGAGAGTGCCAGGTTCTTACTGCCTCCATGCCTGAAGATTTTAGCTCTGACTCCATGTAACCCTTTCCAACACCAATCTGAGCATGATTTGTTGTGCTTCATTCAAACATGTTTTTTCCAATACACATGCATCTGCTTTCCTTGGCAACATAGCCTTGAATCAATCCCAAGCTGCCTCTTCACACTGCCTGCGGTCATCTTCACTCCCCATCCAAAACACAGATCCAACTGGCTTTGGCCCAGCTCACACTAGGGCTCAAGCTAGGTCAGAGATTTCCCTCACCCTGAAGCTTCAAATAAATGGATTGGGTTCCTCTATGCATGTGTGCCTGCTATTCTGTAGGAAAAGACAGATGCTCATTTTCTCATCTGCGACTGCTCATACCCTGCCTCCTTCAAATCTCATTTATTGACTGAACAATTCTGTGTGGAACTGGCTAAAAAGACATTCAGGGAAAAGCACAGAAAATGGTTTTTTTCTCATAAAAACTGTAGCTGCCACGATCCAGGTGAAGTGCTTGAGTCATCTCCTAACCATTGCAGTTTTGACACTCCAGCCACAGGTAGAAGCCTGGGCTTCCCAAAGGTGCCCCAGTTCTACGTACACTTTAGACATCATCAAGGATGCTGCTGTTTCTGGGGAGGAGATCAATGCCTTCTGTGGGATAGCTATCCTGATCCCCAAAGTCTTAATCAATAACTTAAAAGAAACAAAACCTTCTTTTTTTCATAGGCGTAGTGGAAGATAACTGGACTGAAACATCCACCTCGTTGAGGATCATCCTGGTGGGCAAAACAGGCAGTGGGAAGAGCGCCACAGGGAACAGCATCCTCTGCCAGCAGGTCTTCAAGTCCAAGCTACAGGCCCAGCCCGTGACCAAGAAATGCCAGCGGGAAGCAGGCACATGGAACGGGAGGAGCATCCTGGTGGTGGATACGCCCCCCATCTTTGAGGCAAAGACCCAGACCCAGGATGCATACCAGCACATCGCGGACTGTTACCTGTTCTCTGCCCCAGGGCCCCACGTGTTGCTGCTGGTGACCCAGCTGGGGCGCTTCACAGACCAAGACACCATGGCAGTGAAGAGGTTGAAGCAGGTGTTCGGGATGCAGGCCCTGAGGCATACGGTCGTCCTCTTCACCCACAAGGAAGACTTGAAGGGCCAGTCCCTGGAGGATTATGTGACCAACACGGACAATGGGGCCCTCCAGGACCTGGTCCTGCAGTGTGGGAGGAGAGTCTGTGGCTTCAACAACTGGGCATCCGGGGAGGAACAGCAGGTCCAGCTGGCGGAGCTCATGGCTGTGATTGCACAGCTGGAGCAGGAGCTCAAGGGCTCCTTCCTCAGCAATGACCTCTTCCTGCAGGTGCAGCAAGGTGGGGAAGGGGTCTGCCAGCTAGACAACAGGAGGAGGTTCCTGGCCAATGTGAAGCAGCAGGTGGAGAAGCAGAAGCAAGAGCTGAAAGAGCATGAGAGCAATTGTGCATTGAGAGCTCTTCTCAGACTCAAGCACTGGGCGAGGTCTCACCTTATCTTGTGTGCCTTCCTCATTATATGCGTTGTGATTTTCATTGCCATTTTAGTGAAGAGATGAGTTCCTTGTGAGTGCTGAGCATTTTCAGGTGCTTCCTGCCCTCACTGCTGTTTGTCCCGGACCACCATCTCCTTCTCGGTGTGTTTGCTTGTCACCCAGTTTCATCTTCACGGGCTCTTTTTGGCATCAGATATGTCATCTGATTTCTTTCAAGTGCTTTTAGGTAAATAAAATCTGAAGAAAAATATATCATCTTTGTTTTTTTTCTTTTTTAATGGCAATGGTGACTGGAAGCCTGAGCCACAGTACTTGCAGGGACTTCAAGTGAGAAAGTGCTGAACTGCGATGGTTTGAGAGTATCTGGTCCCTGGGACCTGCTTTCTAAGATATATCCTTTGGAAAACATGAACAGGGCCCAGCACAGTGGCGTATCCATAGAGATACTAGTTCTAGTACCTGCTGTTTCACTTCTGATCCAGCTCCCTGCTTATGACCTTGGGGACCTTGCACTTATATGGGAAACCTGAAAGAAGCTCCTGGCTCCTGGTTTCAGATCAGCTCAGCTCTCACCTCTCCCTCTCTCTCTCTCCTCTCTCTCTCTCTCTCTGACTTTTGTTTAAAATAAATAAATCTTTAATTTAAAAAACAAAAACATGGACTGCCTCATTAAACCTAAAGACGAGTAAATTTCAAATGCCTTATAATTTTTGCATCTGAGAATGAAGTGTGATTCTTTCTCTGGTTTCGTCGACCACTTCGAAATGTAAAAGCCCCGCTGAGCTCCCAGGGCTGAGAGACTGAGGGTCATCTGATAGCACAGCTCCCGTTGTCAATCAGACTACACTGCAATGCAATATCTTGACCCCCCCAGTCAGTAACCACAGGTCGTCACATTGGATGTCCGAGAAAATCTGAGGGAGAGGTGGGGTTCTGGTTTTAAGTGGTAGTAAAGCAAACAAAGCAGGCGTGGGGTGGAAGAGGAGCAGATATAGGGTTTCAGAGGAAGCAGGGAGCTAGATGAACAGTGTCACACGGGCCGTTGTGCTGCATCTTGTCCCTTTTAACAGCACCTTCCCCGCCCTCTACACCTCTGTTCCCTGGAAGGGAAACTCCAGCCATCCTGGATAAGCTAGGACCAGATGGGTCAGTAGCTAGTCCTGGATCATGTTGGTCAGTGAACTGTGATTCAGCATTCTGCCATTCTGCAGCCCCACCATTAGTGAGGGGGCTTCTGGCTTGGGCTCTGTGGCTCTGACACCTGCACCCAGAGAGGAACTCCTTCCAAACACGGATAGGAGGTATATGGGTTAGCCCTGCAAACACTGGGAACCCTAAGGAACTCTGAGTTCTCCAGCCCAGGAGTACCTGCTCAGGGCAGTGTTCCCAAACTGTTCTAAGAAACTTGGTCTGCCACTTTCCTGACTTCTTTCAACTCAGCTCCCCAAACATGTTTTATATGAGTGCTGGGTGTCAGTGTCCTTGCCAGCACCAGGAATGTGAGATAGATGCTAAGTTTCTGCTCCACAACGCTAACTATGGAGTAGAGGGATGAAGGCCTAAAAAAATGAGGTGTGAGGGAAGGTTTCTCTTATGGAACTGATGTCAGCAGAAAATAGAGCAGCCCACTTCCAGATGGGGTGATGATGAGTGCGCCTGCCCCTCCGATTCATGGAAGGGAGATGGGAATGAGCAGGTGCAAGGAGGGAGGGGCCTGGCAGAGGCAGTGCCCATGTCTCACTCTCAGGGGTTCAGTGATTGCCTCCTAAGTGTCAGAGAGTCACTGGAGCCCTTTGGAGCAGTTTGATATACATAGAAAGAGGTGTGGAAGCACTGTGGTGGCTGAATTATAAAAATCTGAGGAAAGGAGTAACATTCAGAGGAAAAATTCCATAGATTGGCAACTAGCACCCGCACTGTCTCTGCAGCAAGGGGGACAAAGAGGAGGGGCTGACTGTGGGAGAAAATAAAGAAGAAGCTGAGCACGGTGGCCACTGACCGTGATATGGGGGAAGGGCAAGGATGGCTTCTTTCACTCCAGTGGCCCCCTCAGAGGGACACTAGGTTGAATATAGGATGTGCTGGTGCTGATCTGCCCAGCAAACAATGGGTGTTCCCACCCTCCCTTCACAGAATGTCCTTCCCTTAGGCATGTGGGTGCTCATATCCACCTCTCCGAATGCAGGCATTATCCACCACAGAGGAGTCACTTTCACCATGAGCAGTACTACCCAATCCCCAGCTGATGTCCCCACTCACTGGTTTCCCAGGAAATAGAGCCTAAAGTATGTGACCCCCAAGGACATTTTACCATGGGGTGTTGACAAAGGTGACGATTCAAATGTGAACTCTGTTTTTCTTGAGGGTCCTTCCACAAGGTGAATCAAACACAGAGAAAGCCCTGCCTGCAGGGACTCATACTTCCTCTGTTCTCTCCTAGTCATCAAAATAACCCAATCATCACAGCTTTTGGCTTTACTCTGAGTTCTACAAGTAACTACCAAAGTAGCAGACATTTTAGTAGTAGAGAATATTTCTTAGAAATTTCACAACAAGAAATGACCAACTTGTTCGTTTATTGTGGATGCCTTTCCCAAAAGAAGTGTCAGAACATGGAAGTCCTCATAGATTTAAAGAATGAAAAGTGATCTGAAGAACTCTTCACTAGCTCAAATACAAGTAAAGCTCAAGCAGCTTGACATTTGTTGGCTGATATCATTGGAAATCCAAAGACAAAGTAAGCTCTGGGGCTGATGAGTCAGGAGCTAAGATTCATTTTATTGCTGATCTGCTTTCGAGTAAGCCTTCCATATTGGGCGGGTGGCACAGTGGATGCTGAAATGCAATGCATCTCAGATCCATAAATTCCCAGAAAATGAATGCAATCTGTCTCTTTCAACGGGTCTCCTCTAGGACAGAACGAAATCTTCATAGTCATGAACTGCACTTATAAGCACTTCTCATTGGTTGACATGGAGTCTCAAGGCCATTTCTGAAGCTGTATTGGCAAAGACAGTGGGAAGTATTTAGACCTACAGCAGAAATCTGAACAAAGCTGATGCTGTAAGGGTGAAGGGCAGGCAGAAGTGGTGCAGAATCAGTCAGGGTCTGGAAACAGTAGATTCACTGGGTGAGACTTTAAAAAATGTCACTACAGCACCAAGAACTAAACATAGTAAAATATAATCAAGAAAATTAGTAGGAAAAAAAAGCTCCACAAGAGAAGAGTAAGCCAAAGCTCACAACGTGAATTCACCCAGCGCTTGACTCTGAAAAGAGCTTTAAATGCACAATTGCTCTCATGCTCTTTCAGCTCTTGCTTCTGCTTCTCCACCTGCTGCTTCACATTGGCCAGGAACCTCCTCCTGTTGTCTCCCTGGCAGACCCTTTCCCCACCTTGCTGCACCTGCAGGAAGAGGTCATTGCTGAGGAAGGAGCCCTTGAGCTCCTGCTCCAGCTGTGCAATCACAGCCATGAGCTCCGCCAGCTGGGCCTGCTGTTCCTCCCCGGATGCCCAGTTGTTGAAGCCACAGACTCTCCTCCCACACTGCAGGACCAGGTCCTGGAGGGCCCCATTGTCCGTGTTGGTCACATAATCCTTCAGGGACTGGCCCTTCAAGTCTTCCTTGTGGGTGAAGAGGACGACCGTATGCCTCAGGGCCTGCATCCCGAACACCTGCTTCAACCTCTTCACTGCCATGGTGTCTTGGTCCGTGAAGCGCCCCAGCTGGGTCACCAGCAGCAACACGTGGGGCCCTGGGGCAGAGAACAGGTAACAGTCTGCGATGTGCTGGTATGCATCCTGGGTCTGGGTCTTTGCCTCAAAGATGGGGGGCGTATCCACCACCAGGATGCTCCTCCCGTTCCATGTGCCTGCTTCCCGCTGGCATTTCTTGGTCACGGGCTGGGCCTGTAGCTTGGACTTGAAGACCTGCTGGCAGAGGATGCTGTTCCCTGTGGCGCTCTTCCCACTGCCTGTTTTGCCCACCAGGATGATCCTCAACGGTGATGACCCAGAAGTGCAGCTGTCTTCTCTGCCTGTGGGGACCCAGGGTATGCCAATGAGTCCCATGTGCCTTTGGAGAAAACAGCAGATAAGAAGGAAAAGAACCCAGAGGGACCAGCAGCCTGGCCTATTTGAGTTATCAGTCCCTCTGCTCCCATCGCCTGACACCCATGTATAGGCAATCTAGGAAATTGGGAAAGGGTTTGTGGAATAAATTATCCTGCTAAACAGAGTCCTGGGATTCTTCCTTTATGGAATTGAGTTGTTCCACCCTCCCTAGAACCTTCTCTCTACTCACTCCACAGGACATTCAGTGTTTTGATTGTGTTTTGAGTCCACACTTTCCACTTCTTTCATCTCAGCCTGATCCCTGTTTTACAAGATGACAAGGTCTAGTCTGGACAAGTTGCATTCTCTGAGAACAGAGCAGCAAAACATCTAACATGTTCTAGCTCCTGAGCTCCATTTGTCCAGAGGTGAATGCAGTCTTGGGCCTTTCATTGTGAGCCAGGGAAGCTGCCTCCCCGCCCCCGGTGCTGATTCTGTGCCCCTTGCCCCATGTGAAAACCCCTACACAATGCACCTTCTTACCTGTGGGGGAGGCATCTTCTCCTTCCATTTTGTTCTAGAAGGGACAACACAGAGAGATTGTTGACATGGAATTGGATGTGATAGCAGACAAGGAACACTACATTTTATCCAAGAGAAAACTGAGGCGAGAAGAAGAGCCAGATGGAGTCACAAATCAGTGGATGAGCTGAGACTAAAATCCATATCTACAGACTACAGATATTTTCAGCATTAGACCAAGATGCCTGTTGAGGAAAATACAGAAAGACAAACGGCCGGCTGCTTAGGAAACCACAACATGCTGTTGTGGTCAAAGTCAGAGCCCTTGCTGCTTATAACTCCATTCTGGCCAACTAGGTGCTTTTAATTGATTCTCCCAAGAACTGTTTTATGTGAGCAGAGCAACTTGAGCTCTACTTCCAAAATATTCCTCCCCTCTTCAAAAATGGAAATTATTCTCACCAAATTGTGTAGCATATTCAGCAGAGCTAAAATCAAATGAAGAATCTGCAGCCTTATTCTTCAAAGGGCAGCCCATGACTTGGTGACAGGAGATGGGAAATTCAAGAGTTCTTCCCTTCCCTGCAATATTTATGGAATATATATGGAAATTCCGTATCCGCACCCGGGTGTGGGTGCAGCGGGCACTCTATGCATGTCTGGAAATACTTTTTCACAAACAAAATAAGTAAATTCATTAATATCCCCAAGGAATCACTGTCTTAGCTCATTCTGCTGAAAACTTCAGGTTCTGAAAATAGATATGTAACATTTTCAGCTTGCACTTACATGGGCCTTAAGGACATTTGCCTCTTGGTCCTGACTTAGGGACTGAGAAACAGTTTAGAAAGATCCAATTGCCTCATCTGGGAGGCATGGACACTGGTAGAACTAGAGGTGGGGGGCAGAGGGAAGAAACCCAAACGAGCCCTGTTACCTGGTCAGCCATGGAGTATCTTGCCAGGTCGTACAGACGGTCTTGGAACAGTCCTCCCTCCTCTGCTGGATGACCCCTCAGTGGTTTCTTTTGGTCTCGTCATAAAAACACAGAGCAGTGACAGATGAAAACATCGCTCATAAATTACACCTGCAAGAGAGAGGTAGGGAGTAGGAAAAGAATAAGGTTATGCAGATTTCCTCAAAACGCCATGTCCAAAGGATGACACAAAGCCCTCAGGGACGAGAGAGAGAGAGAGAGAGAGAGAGAGAGAGAGAGAGAGAGAGAGAGAGGCTGGTTGTGAACAGCAGTTTCATTTTCCATTTTCTTCATCATAGCTTTGCAGTGCTTTTGTGCAAAATAAATAAATAAGTAGATAGATAGATAAGTTAAGTAAACTTTACCATTAGCACCTTTTAGCTGAATGGAGAGCTGCAGAAACCAACAGCCATCTTGAGGCACAGCTGTCTTTCACTCTTTCACTCTGCAGCTCACGCTTCTCACCGCCTGCTTCCTCTCTGCTCTGGAGAGAGTTCCCTTGCAGGCTGAAAACAAAGGTTGGATCCAACATGCCTTTCCAGGTTCCTCCGCACGAGGAGCAGGCATCTTGCCCCCAGGCATTCTCTGTCCCCCTCTTATTTCTCTGCCACTTGCCCTGTCTTGTGGCGGGTTGCGGGGGAACAACACTTAGTCGGTCCCCCCATACACAGACTTGATGTACCAGAAGGGGCTACCTCTCAAAGGGGTCAGATCCACCCGTGGCTTACTGACCTGCCGTGGAGGTGAGCATGGGGTCTTACCTGCCGATATTCAGGACGATGGGGAGAAGAATAGTGGAACTTGATCAGCTGCTTTCTGCTCATAGGAGAAAACGCACACTGATGACTGGAAAGGGAATCTTGATTCTGCCTGAAGTCGCTACCTTAGCAGCTTCTAGGCTGAGACAGGACGCTTTCTGTTTTGATGACTCGCCTGCCTTTGCTTCTAACCTGCCAGTTGCATGCTCATTTGAGTGTTTCGGTTAAGTTACATGAATCTTGTCTTGTTGATTTGGAAATCCCTTTATGTAGATGTAAAATAATATCTACTCTCCCAGTTATGTTCTGCAACAATGCTCTGCTTCTTTCCTTCCCTTCTTCAAAGTTTTATGGCTACTTGACCCTCCTCTTTTTCTTTCCCTGTGAGAGCTGGCACTCCAAGTGGAAGTGCCTCTAAGGACTTGTAAAAGAATGGTCATCAGTAAAGAAATGGGCCGGCTCTTTTTTCTTAGAGCTACAGAGAGGAAAAAAAAAAAAAAAAAAACAGTCACTATTATTCCTACTCAAGTCTGTCAGTTATCCAACACGGGAAAATGCTACCTTTGTGCTATGAAAATAAACCTCCCCTCTAAACTTCTGTAGAACTGGAGATCGACTTTCATTTTAATAATGTGTTTTCCTGCTAAGGAGATGCAAGTTCAAATCTTGTCATTCCTAACAGGTCTAAACATTTACAAGATTTCCTGGACATTCCCCAAGGGGCTTCCTAATAAGTACCTCTTCTATCACAGACATGTAAGTAACAAAATAAAGCAAAACAAGAAAAAATACTCAGAGCATGAGAAATCTCACCTCGTTTTTCAGGTGCTACTTAAGCTGAAATGATCTACCGTTGCCGAACATCTTGCAAATACCGCCCTCTACTGTTCATCTTTTTAAGTTTGCTACCGTTGTTTTGGGGGATTCTATTTGATAGAAGGCAAACTTCATGCAACATGTAAGATCAGTAACCCCTTCAATGCTGTTTTTGCTACATCTCAGAGGGTTTGATATCATTGTTCATATTTCATACGTTCAGAAAAGTTTTTATTTTTCTTATTAATTTCCTCTCTGATTCATCGCTCACACACTAGCACCGTTTGCTTCAGGAACGTCTTTGATTTTCCTTTTCCTTTTTTCAATGACACATTTGTCATCCAGTAGCATGTTGTTTAATTTGTTGTTGTAAATTTCCTATTTTTCTCTCTGCTGTTGCTTTTGCTTTATGGCTTTCCATTTACGGGGAAGCATAGCAATTGTGTAGTAGAGACCGTCCCACACACAGTACGCGCGTCTCCACTTCCAAATCAAGGATGGACTCCCAATGAAACTGTTGAATGTGTCTTGACATTGGACGGTGGACTCTTCGCCAACGTCCATGCTTACAATGCCACAATATATTTAAATAGCAAAATGAAAGACTTACGACTGATTGTGAAGAACTATACTACTGTAATGACATGGGGGAAGTTACTCGGGGGAGGGGTAGGGATTTGGGGATGAAGGAGGGAAATCCCAGAGCCTATAGAACTGTATCATAGAATAACAAAATAAAACAATTAATTAAAAATAAGTTAAAAACCTTAAAAGTCATCGATCATAAAGAAAAAATATGTATAAAAATAGAACAAACTTTATGGATTTCACAGATACAGTTTTAAGAGCATAGGGGCCGGCACAGTAGCCTAGTAGCTAAATCCTCACCTTACATGTGCCAGGATCCCTTATGGGCACTAGTTCATGTCCTGGTTGTTCCACCTCCCATCCAGCTCCCTGCTTGTGTCCTGGGAAAGCAGCACAGAATGGCCCAAAGCCTTGGGACCCTGCACCTGCATGCAAGACCCAGAAGAAACTCCTAGCTCCTGGCTCATGGATTTAGATCAGGTCAGCTCCAGCCATTGTGACCACTTGGGAAGTGAAACAACAGACAGAAGATCTCTCTGTCTCTCCTTCTCTCTGTAAATCTGATTTTCCAATAAAAATAAATAAATCTTTTTAAAAAAAAATAAAGAGCATAACAATATTTCCCACCCTCACCTCTCTCCTTCCCTTCCTCTTCCATTTTTTTTCTTTTTACAAGGATATACACTCTATTTTTTTTATAATCACAAGTTACAAATAGAAAAACCTCTGTTCCTTAAGTGTATAGACAAGGGATCTATAAGCAACAAGCTTTTTGCTCAGTCTAGAAAGCTTAACAAATGTTCTCCTGGTAGCATCTATCATTTTTACCAAGTCTTCATTTCTCAAGCCATTATTTAAGAATTTATTGTTTATGTCTAGGCAAAAAAAAAATACACACAGTGGTTTTTCTAAATTATTTATAGTTGCCAAAACTTGGAAGCAAGCAAGATATCATTCAGTAGCTGAATGGATAAATTGGATACATTCAGATACCATGTTAATCAACACTGAAAAGAAATGAGCTAAGCAGGCCTGAAAAGGATATTTTAAAAACATAACTGTTTCTTGCTAACAGGGTGGAGCCAACATCAAATGTTACATACTGTGTGATTCCAACTCTAGACAGCTAGGAAGGGCACAGGAGTCGAGGCAGTGGAATGACAGAGCTCCAAGCTTCACAGAGCCGGGTTTCAGAGCAATGAAATCACTGCGTGTGACACCCTAACGGCAGACACAAGTCACTACACGTGTGTCAAAACCCATAGGACGTGCAACACCAAGACTGAGCCTTAAGGCAAGCTATCGCCTGGAATTTGTGATAAAATGTCAATATTAACTCCTCTATTACAACCAATGTCCTCTGTTAACACAAGACGTTACTAACAGGAAAACTGAAAGGGCGGAGAGATGGAACATGTAAGAACTCAAACTTTCCATAAACCTAAAACATAAACTGTTTTTTTTTTTTTTAATAGTCTGTTGCTTAGGCAAACAGTTAAGGCACTCACATCTCACATTGGATTATTTAGGTTCAATTCCTGGCAATCATAATGAGTTAAATGGGTGTCTGCCATTCACAAGAGGACTTAAATTCCTGGCTCCTGGGCTCCTGGCTCCTGTTCTAGCCCCCTGCCCAACCACTGAGGAATAAATCAATGAATGATAGCTGTCAGTCTAATGAGCTCTCTCTCTCTCTCTCTCTCTCTCTCTCTCTCTCTCTCTCTCTCTCAGTCCCCTACTCCTATCCCTCTCTGTCTCCCTCACATTAAAATAAGTAAGTAAAACCTATTAGTTTGCAAAGGTGGCATGAAGAAAAGATGGGATAGGGGAGGAGTGTTGGAAAGAACTTGAGATAGAGAAGAAGGCAGAGGTGAGACAGGATTTTAAGAGGAAGAAGTAAAGAAAAGTCAAAAGCCAGAGAAGAAAAGGGAGGAACAGCGGGATCATTTTTGTGCAGCAAATCCCCACCCTGCGAGACCTTAGCAACATATTGGAGAGACAGATAGCAGAGAGACCAGAAAAGAAGGAAGTTTTAAATGATTACTAACGCTGTATACTAGTATAATATGCTGATAATCTTTTCCACCTTACTCTGGTACTAATAGCTCAGAGGACACATTTCTAGTCCTCAACAATATTTTAGCAATGTGTCTTTTTAATTTTTGTTGATTTATTTTTGTTGAAAAGGCAGATACACACACACAAAAAGGAGAGGCAAAGATCTTCCATCCACTGGTTCACTCCCCAAGTGGCTGCAACAGCTGGAGCTGAGCTGATCTGAAGCCTGGAACTGAAGCATAAGTAAATCATAAAATTTTCTCAACTCAAGACAGGTCAGAAAATGAGAACATAAACAAACAGATGGGTTAGAGCTCAGCGTGGTGGCCTAGCAGCTAAAATCCTCTCCTTGAACACGCCGGGATCCCATATGGGTGCCGGTTCTAATCCCGGCAGCTCCACTTCCCATCCAGCTCCCTGCTTGTGGCCTGGGAAAGCAGTCGAGGACGGCCCAAAGTCTTGGGACCCTGCACACACCTGGGAGACCCAGAAGAGCTCCTGGCTCCTGGCTTAGGATCAGCACAGCACTGACCATTGCGGTCACTTGGAGAGTGAAGCAGCAGATGGAAGATCTTCCTCTCGGTCTCTCCTCCTCTCTCTCTGTATATATCTGACTTTACAATAAAAATAAATCTTAAAAAAGATAGATGGGTTAAATTTAAAAATCAGCTAACAGCATGGTAAATTTTAATTCAATTATATCAATCGTCATATTAAACCTGAATTGTTGAAATATACCGGTTTAAAAACAGAGATTGTAAGATAGGACAAAAGCAAAATCAATGAATACGTTGACTGAAAAAGCAACATACTTTGAGAATAGAAAGATTGGGGCCAGCGTCCTAGGGACCAGCGCCTAAACCTCCATCTGGGGCGCCAGCATCTCCTATGAACAACAGTTCACATTCTAGCTTTTCCACTTCACATCCAGGTCCCTGCTTATGACCTAGGAAGGCAGCAGAGCATGATGCAAGTTCTTGGGCCCCTGCACTTAGGAAGAGAATCCAGAGCAAAACTTTTGGCTCCCAACTTTGGATCAGCCCCAGCTCTGTCTATCTGGGGAGTGAACTAACATATACAGGATCTCTCTCTCTCTCTCTCTCTTCCTCTCTCTCTTTCTCTGTTGTGTTTCTCCTCTCAGGAACTCGGCCATTCAAATAGAAATAAATCTTTAAAATTTTTAAATGAAAACATAAATGAGCTAAAATTTTTAATGCTAAAAATATATACCATCAAGCAAAATACAAAGGCTGGCGTCACTATACTTACATTAGAAAAAAAAATTCAGAACAAAAATATGATCAAGGATCAGAAGGAACTATCAAGGATGAACGTTCAGCCTGACAGTCAAGGACCAGTTAATGCACTTCTTGGCTATCAGCAGTCACCTGGGCGGTCCAGTCCAGGAGGAAGCCAAAGGGAAAGGGAAGTTAAAAGCAGGAAGCTGCAAATTTAAATGATTTTCTGGGGAAGCTGGAGGAGTTGCAGGAGTTAAAAGAATTGCAGGGATTGAACCCAGGGTCCCTGAAATCCAAAGATCTTCTGGGGGATCAGGGATAGAAATTTGGGAACTAAAGGGTGTACGTGTGGGTGGAGAAGAATTTACAGCAGATGAGCTGCCACTTCCATTCTGATTTCTGTGCTTGAACCTTGCATATTTGATCAGATTAAATATTTATTTTTAGATGCAATAATCAGAATACTGTTTTAGAATTATCTGATGAAATATTAACAGATGACAGTATATGGTATTTAGAAACATCAAATAACCAGGAGAAGGGGGGGATTTAAACGAAGCAGAACTGTCAGGTGCCACTCTTGTCTCCTAGTGAGAGCTACATCAGTGCACTACACTATTTTTCTCTATCTCAGTATATTTAGAATTTCAGACTTTAAATTTTTGAGAGATATTAACAAAGATTTATTAACACTCAATGTTTGAATTTTTTCCAAGCATACATGCGGTACTTCTGAACCCCTCGGTGAAGAGTTACAGACACAATTGATAGTCATTTGACAGATTTTATTAAGGTTTTGTTGTTGTATTGCTTGGATATTGTGCCATCAAACAACCCTGATAACAGGCCGATAAAT